AAGCCAACAGTTACCTGAATCGCTGTCGGAGACTACGCGATCAAATCGCGAAATTGGGGAGCTCGATCTCTGAGGAGATCTTCGTGAACATCGTGCTCCAAGGGCTCGGCCCAGAGTGGCGGCCCTGTAAGGCGCTTCTCCGACAGCAGGGGGTCATCTCGGAGGCCGCCCTTTGCGCCGCCCTCCTCGGCAAACAACGGGATATGGACCAGCAGCGACCAGCGCCACGACGAGAGAGAGAGAACGTCTCGCATTCTACGCGGACAACACGGAAGAGCGACGACCACGGCGCCTCTACTGCAAGATCTGCAGAAATTTTGGGCACTTGGCGAATCGATGCAAGCATCGATCTCGCCCTCGCCAGACCAATCCGAGCACTTGGTCCAGCCGACAAGACGCAAGAAACGACACGCGTCCCGCCCAGGGGTCTCAACCCCCACCGCGCAACCTGAATCCAACAACTCAGCAGCAGCAGCAGCAGCCACCACAAGCTGCCCCCGTCCGCAACGTCATGGGGAACATGACCATGATGAGCGGCTCTCGTCGCCCGCGCGCACGCTCACTCTCACCTGAGCCGGCGCCCGACCCAATCGAGGCATCTCCGAACAACAATCCATTCAGCACGCATCACGACTACCGCGACGACGACAACCAGGACTGAAATCTACCAGTCCCGCTGCTTGAGAGCCCTCCGCACGTACCTGACATGCGGCCGGCACTGATCGACTGGATCGCGCGCGAACAATTTCTGAAGGTGGACACTCCACACATCGTCACTCCGCGACTGGCGCTGCTCGCGCGAAACGACAACAGGTGCTACAACAAGTGGTACCTGGACAGCTGCTGTGGGCAGCATTTGGTGGGCTCCGAGCGTTACATATCCAACGCCGTCCCCACTCCCGTCGTCACTTACGTCACAGTGGCGAACAACACGCGGCTGCGCGCAAGCGCGCAAGGAATCGTGGTGCTCAAGGCACGAGGGAGCCGAACGCACATCACACTTAACGACGTATTGATTGTGCAGAACCTGCGCTTTAATTTGCTCTCGGCGGCGCAACTCCTGGATTGCGGAGTCATCCTCAGCACCGACCCCGAGACGCGCGACATCCTGCTCCACTTCACGATGCCAAACAAGAAGCGCAAGCAGATCGGACGGGCGCGCGCCGAGAACGGCGTATACACTCTCGACTTCAACATTCCCGACTGCAGCGGCGATTCGCAGGAATTGATTGACCTCGTCCCCCTGCGCTTCGAACACATTCATCGCCGCGATTGGAAGCACCCTGATGGGCGCCCCTGAGTGCCACACCACTCACACCCTCGCGAGCTCGCGCTGCACGACCCCGATCCCGACGGCGTCTGCAAGGACTGCCACACACCAACGTCTTCGACGAGCGCGATCGCCGGCCGTGGCCTTGCCGCCATTCGCGAAACAGAGCAAGACGCACCGCCTGAAGAGGGTCTCTCCCAACTGGAGTTGGAAACAGCTACACGGGTCGTATTCGGCACACCGGAACACCCTCTTCTCGGACCCGCATCCCAGCATCTCCAAGGAATGCTCCGCGGCGTTGGCGTCGGCACCTTCGACGCGCACGGGAATCCGCGGCCCTACACCGAACGAAAGGCGGCAGAGATCTACTCTCACCGGCGCGATTCCAAGAAACGGCTCTCGCCCACGGAAGAAGAGACATTGGCGCAACAAGAAGCCAAAGAGCTTCGGCGGAAGAGCCTCGCCGAGGCACGCGGAACGCTCGCCTGGGAACAGGACGAGAAAAGCGCCTCCAATGAAGGGGGGTGGGGGAGCGCCGGCGGATGGGGAACGAGCGACACCAGCGGCTGGGGCGTCGTAGCCGGCGGATGGGGCGCAGCAACAGGCGCATACACCAGCTGGGAACTCCTCGCCGCACGTGAAATGGACGGGAAGAAAAGGGGACACCTCCATGCTCCGCGTCTGGGGCTGCATGGTTTAATACCGACCGCCAACATCAACCATCGGGAAGTTCAAAAGCCGCGCGCGCTGGGGAATCCATCTCGGTATCAGCCACGAACACAAGGCGTGGATCATCCTGGATCTCCTAAGCCAGAAAATCAAGAATGCGCGCGATGTCATCTTCTACGAGCGACTGTTTCTGCAACAATTTCGTGACGACGAGCAGACGAATGCAAACCGCGTCTACGCCAACGAGGGCCACAGCTACGCCTCACCTGAGGACGAAGCAGCAGCAGCAATTCTGGAGCAGGATCCCAGAGGCGAGTTCACAAGGGGCGATCGCCACGACGACAACGACGACGATGATTCAGATGAAGGAGGAACAGGCGCAACAGGAGGAGGCGCAGTAGGAGGGAGCAGAAGCGGCGGAGACACAGCACCGCCAGCACCGCCTGAACCAGAAAGCGATGATGACGACGTGCAGGAAGTCGTCACTCAACATCGCCACGACAGCACTGTCACCGGTCTCCAGCTACTTGGACTACACGCTGCCATCTCCACTGCTCCGCGCATCATCGAACCTAAGAACCCACGGCAAGCTCTCACAGGCCCACACAGCAAGGAGTGGCGCGAAGCAATGAATGCGGGCACTCGAGTCGCGCGACACCTGGGTGCTCATCGACCGTGCAGCAGTAAAGGGGAGAAGGATTCTCTCCGGCAAATGGGTCTTCCGAGTGAAGACAGGAGCCGACGGAAGGATTGAGCGATTCAAAGCACGCTGGGTGGTACGCGGCTACGATCAAAGGCACGGGATTGATTTTGACCAGACATTTGCACCGGTTAGCCGTCACACATCCGTCTGAATTCTCCTCGCCATCGCAGCCACACGACACCTACCACTTCGGCAGATCGATGTGAAGAATGCGTTCCTGTACGCATTAGTGGACGCCATGATCTACGTGGAACAACCACACACTTACGGCGACGGATACCCACGCGTCTGTCAGCTACGCAAGACTCTGGCAGCAGTACCTGCACAACATACTGCTTGAAATCGGGTTCAAGCAGCTACCTCACGATCCTGGAATGTATCGCCGCGATTTCCGCGGCGAATACGTCCTCCTCACGGTCTACGTCGACGAACTTCTTTACACAGGCTCAAGCAACGAACTGCTCGAGCAGTTTGAGAGAAGCCTCGCAGGGCGCGTCGACATCACCTGCAATCATGACGTGAAGCAGTTTCTCGGACTCAACATCACCTTCTCGCCGGAAGCCATTCATCTCTCAGCAGCGAAGTATGCGGAGGAGCTTAGCAAGCGCTTCAACATTGCGCCTGCACCACTCTCCACCCCTTACCGCACTCAAGGACCCAACCACAAGCCTGACAACAAAGCCCTGTCCCCTGTTGGGCTTCCCACTTACCAGCAGCAGTTGGGATGCCTGCTTTTTGCATCTGTTACCTGCAGGCCCGACCTCTCCTACATTGCGATCCAGTTGGCTCAGTACTCACGCAAACCAACGGCTGAGAATCTCTCAGATCTTCAACGAGCCCTTCAATTCTTCATCTCCACGCCCAATGTCGGGCTCAGTTATTCCACCATCCCAACCACATCCTTCAGCCTCGTCGGCTACGTGGATGCCGATCACGCCGCTGACCCTGACAATCGACGGTCCAGGACAGGGTTCCTCTTCCGCCTCGAGCCCAGCGGCCCCATCTCCTGGAACTCTCAGAAGCAGGAGTTGGTTGCCCTGTCATCGGCGGAAGCTGAATTTATCGCAGCAACAGCAGCTGTTCACGAAGGTCTCTACCTTCAGGAACTGCTGCACGAAACAAAAATTCCGGCCTCCACGAACTTTCGCCTGCACTGCGACAATCAGAGCGCGATCAGGATCGCGAACAAACCTGGCTTCGTCAACCGCACCAAGCACATCGCACTGCGGTACTTCTTCGTCAAGGACGAAGTTGACAAAGGCAAAGTTGACCTGACATACTGCCCAACGGGTGACATGGCAGCAGACTTCCTCACAAAGAGACTGCCGCGTCAGCAGTACCAGCACTGCTCCGAACTCAGCGGGGTAGTCAAGCGGGTCAATGCTCGCTACGGCCAGGAGTGAAGGGGGGTGTTACGAATAGTAGTTAATGAAAAACACTGTTGCGCACTCCTCACCGTAGTAAAGCCGAAGCACGCACTATCGAGAGTGAAGACGAAAAGCCAGAAGAAAGGCGAAGGGACACACGATTACGAGGAGCATCTGGATCGTCGGGCAGACAGCATCAGGCAGCAGCAGTGGCGAGGATTCTGCCCGAACAGTTACGTAACCACTCGGAGTCGCACGGTTGGATTTCGCTGCAATAAGGGAATGTACCCCTTAGAGTACATGACTAGTTAGGTCGTTTCGAATTCCCCTGTACTCATATTTATATTCCTTGTACTGCACGTGTTTATTATCTCAAAGCATTTTACATTCACTCTGCTATTGAGGTCAAGGGCCCACCAACATCACTTTTCTGCGTGCGAACCTTCCTGAGTAGATCCTAGGCCACGATCAACTTGTGATCGCAGCACAGTGCAAAATAGAAGCATATACTGATTGTTCAGGGAAAACGAAAATCAGAGCTACAAAATCAGCGTAATCAGCGTGTTTTACGCTGATATCTGAGGGCCTGGTCGCAATACATTCATTTTTTGTGACGCGAGATTGACAAAATGTTTCAACGCGACTCGGGAAAAAGGGGATTGAGACACTTGTGTCCCCACAAGAATGTACCCTAAGCGCACCTGCGCTTATATCCGGGGTGATACGGTATGTAGCATGGAAAATTTCCTACTTCAGTGAAAGCTGTTCCGATCCTGCGTCAGACTCCGTGGACACTGAGGCAACATTATAACGTATCACTTGATCGCCCATAGCATTTATTTTCTTCAGAACATGATGCCAATAGAGCAACTCGAAATCCACTTAAACCTTTACCTCGCTCAACATACGGTAAGCTTGGAAGTACATAACCAAGTTATAGCTCCTCTTCCTCCTCCTAATCCTCCTCTTCCTCCTAATCCTCCTCTTCCTCCTAATCCTCCTCTTCCTCTCCCTTCTTCTCCTCCTCATCATCATCCTCTTCCTCCTCCTCTTCCTCACCCCCTTTCTCCTCATCCTCCTCCTCCTCCTCCTCCTCCTCCTCCTCCTCCTCCTCCTCCTCCTCCTCGTCATCATCACTATTGTCATCATTCTCATCATCATCATCATCATCCTCATCCTCATCCTCATCATCATCATTAGAACTTCTGCTGCCAGCAGGTGCAGACTGACACGTGAAGTCTACATTCATCGAACCTCTAACGGGAGACAAGGGGTGCAGTCACAGGGGTGTGGAAGATAAGGGCGAAAAGACAGGCACACGAGGACAGAGGCATAAATAAAGACGAATGCAGTATGACATGTACCGTCTACATTCATCGAACCTCTAATGGGAGACAAGGGGCGCAGTCACAGGGGTGTGGAAGATAAGGGCGAAAAGACAGGCACACGAGGACAGAGGCATAAAAAAAGACGAGTGCAGTATGACATGTACCGTCTACATTCATCTAACCTCTAATGGGAGACAAGGGGCGCAGTCACAGGGGTGTGGAAGATAAGGGCAAAAAGACAGGCACACGAGGACAGAGGCATAAATAAAGACAAGTGCAGTATGACATGTACCGTCTACATTCATTGAACCTCTGGCGGTACTCGCTTGCTGTTGCCATGGAATGCCAGCTCTGCTGGGTGCATTCTGACTGAGATGTACCAGATGTACCTCTGGTGGTACTCACTCTCTGTTGCCAAAACGGTTAGCTCTCTCAAGCCCAGTCTGCCACATGCCGTGACCTGACGATTACGTTCAGTGAACCTCGTGTGGTACTTACGCATTGTTGCCGTGGAAGGCCAACTCAGTCAGGTGCAATCTGGCTCATGCCGTGACCTGTGGGTTACATTCAGTGAACCTCGTGTGGTACTCACTCCTCATTGCCGTGCAGGGCCAGCTCAGTCAGGTCAGGTGCAATCGGACACATGACATAAACCCGTCCACATTCATTGAACCTGCTCCATCAATTGAAGTGTGGCGCACGCCTGTCTATATTCAATGAGTTGAACCCTCTTGTGGTGGTACTCACGCGTTGTTGCCATGGAAGGCCAGCTCAGTGGATCCAGACTCAGAGAAAGCTGCCAGTGAAGCTGACTGGCTCCCACTCTCCTCACTCACTCACTCACTCACTCACTCACTCACTCACTCACTCGCTCACTCGCTTACTCACGCATTGTTGCCATGGAAGGCCAGCTCAGTTGATCCAGAGTCAGAGAAAGCCCAGTTGAGGCTGTTGCTGCCATTGAAACTGACTGGTACTGCCCCTCCGTCCCCTTCTGATCGAGAGAACCTGCAGGCAGGAGAGGGTTGGAGGGGAAGGGAAGGGGAAAAGCCCAGATGAGGCTGCTGCTGCCAGTGAAGCTCTCTGGCACCGCCCTTCTGTCTGCCTCTGATTGAGAAAGCCTGCAGACAGGAGAGCGTGGATTGGCAAGGGGAGAGAGGAAGTTCAGATGAGGCTGCTGCTGCCATTGAAACTCACTGCTGCTGACTTTCCGTCCCCTTCTGATCGAGAGAACCTACAGGCAGGAGAGGTTTGGAGGGAGGGAGAGGGGTTGAGGAGGAGAGAGGTCGGGAGGAAAAGGAGGGAGAGGAGATGAGGAGGAGAGAAGGTGAGAGGACAAGGAAAGGGAGAGCCCAGGTGGTGATATTTCTGCCACTGAAGCAAGCTGACTTTTGAGTCGACTCAAAAGTCAGCTTGAGGAGGAGAGAGGGTGAGAGGACAGGGAGAGGGTGAGAGGACAGGGAGAGGGAGAGCCCAGGTGGTGATGTTGCTGCCACTGAAGCAGGAGCAGGAGCTTCCCCTCCATCCATTTGGGATCGAGACAACCTGTGGGCACGAGCAGGCGGAGCAGGAGGAGCAGTAGGAGCAGGAGGAGCAGGAGGAGCAGGAGGAGCAAGAGGAGCAGGAGGAGCAGGAGGAGCAGGAGCAGGAGGAGCAGGAGGAGCAGGAGGAGCAGGAGGAGCAGGAGGAGCAGGAGGAGCAGGAGGAGCAGGAGGAGCAACGGGAGGCGCAGGATGAGGAGCAGGAAAGTGAGGAAAGATAGCAACAAAACACACCAACTCAATGACACACGCATCCACCTACCATAATGAGATATACCACTCTTTTCATGAGTCGACTCAAAATCACCTACCACGATGACTTTTGAGGCGCCTCAAAATCACCTACCACGATGAGAATTCACCAACTCAATTATACACGCATCCACCTACCAAAACTGCGTGAATTAGTTAGGTTTTATTACAACTACTGTTTCTCCTTTGCTAAACTTTCTCCTGCTGCTCGATGGAACATGTCTACCGATCTGCAAAACGCACCAACTCAATGATACACGCATCCACCTACGGTAATGAGATACACTACTCTTTTTTTGAGTCGACTAAAAAAAGCATCTACCACGATGAGAATTCACAATGTGAAATAAGTGAGCTTTTGAGACGTCTCGAAAACTCACTTAATTTCACATGACTCGAAAAATGATATACCAGAATTCACCATTCCCCTCACCTCGTGTCATCCACGTCACATCACCTCGTTTCACTCCACTCACTTCATAATTTTGCCGCCGTTACTTCCAGCTGTCAACTCAGGCGTCCCAATCGAGAACCCATCAGAAGGCGCCACGTCAGACTGGCTGTACCCGCTGATGTAGTACGCGCCCACGCTGCTTCCCCGAAGGTTCCCGATCACGCAATCCGCGGGGTACATACGGCCGTGGTTTGCCGCCCAGCCGACGGAGAACCAGCCGGACTCGGCCCCACTGGCGGGTTTGGCTTCTAGCGCGAACTGCAGGCGCGAGGCGTTGAGAGTCCAGTGCAGAAACAGACTGGGGGAGGGAGGAGGGGAAGGGGGGAAACAGGGGGGGCGGAAAGTAGGGTGTACAGGAGGGGAAGGAGGGGGGAAATGGGGGAGAGAGGGGGAGGTTGGGGGATGGGTTGGAGTCGTAAGTCTGTGGAGGAAGGGGGATAGGCAAGAGAGAAGAGAGTGAACAATGGAGGGAGAATCAGCCAAACTAGACCCCCCTGACGGGTTTGAATTAGGGTTTGAGTTAAAAAATCCAGGAGTGGAGGAATTGCACCGACCTGGCGCCGCATATCACGGCACTAGACTGACCGGTAACATCACCGCAATCTGAGCGGTGCTATGATTTGTTTCGTAACGTAGATTGAGTGAACTACACGCAGCATTCGACTCACCCGTTTCCCGACAGATCTACGGAATTTGCGAAGCCTGGAAGGGACGACGGTTCGCACGACGAGGCGCGATCGACGGAGACACCGACTACCAGGAGGAGCATGGCACGTGCCAGCCACGCTTCGACCGCGTGCGCCGTTGATCTAGTCGTGGAGAGTCGCCGGGTTCGTGGTTTCGCAGATCGATCCATCGAAGGGCAATCTAGAGGAGATTATTAACGAAGCAAATTAAGAACGCGGACCGAGTCGCAGTTCATAGTTATGTAACTTTCGGCGTGTTTCCCTTTTGCAATGCAGCACTAGAATGCGCGACTCCGCAGCACGCTCTAGTGAAGCCCCCTTTACGAATACCCGGGGAATAAGGGCTCGAAACTCTACCGAGCGCTGCGCCATAGGATCGTGTGCAGCTGGCTTCATGGCTACGTGTGGTGTCTACCGTGCGGACTGAGGGTTCGACTCGGGGAAGGCGGGATCAGTTTGGATGTAGGACTGCTAATTAATTGCAGGGAGGTGCATTATGCCATGCTGGTTTGGGCTAGTTGCGGGTTTAGTCGGGTTTAGTGTTTACAGGTTGTGGCAGGTGAGGGAGTGACCGTTCATTTCCGCTCTGTAACCTACCGAACCGTTAAAACTTATTGTTTGATTGCTGAAGAACAAACAAGCATCTCACTGAGCCGCATTCGAAGTGAACTTTTTTGTACGCCCTAAAAGACATCTTGCGGTGGTGGAGCGGCTTCATCAAAGGGGGTGTGTGGCAGCGGAGGTGATGCGCGTGCAGATTGGTTCTGTAATTGGCTGTTGCCAGCGAAGCGGATGGGCATGTGCCCGTACTGTAACCACAAATGACCAAAGCGACCTGGGTCATGAAGTCCAGAACACATGTCACAGATAACGACGGTGGTAGTTGATTGGACGGACCAAAATGGTTCACCTCGGGCGTTGGATGCATACCCCACGCAGTGGCTACTGGTCGTGTAGTGGCTACTTCCCTAAATATTCTTTCCATTCTATTTTCCTTTTCATTTCTTTCTAGAGATGTAAGTTGCAAAGAAGACTTCAAAATTAATACCATCTCCCCCCAGGATATACCCCCATGGGGAACAATAATAAAACAGGTTTTTTCAGGGGGGTGGGCTTATAATCGAGTAAATTTATAAGCGCCGGCGTTTATATATATATATTTTTTATATCTTTTAACACCAAACTGTAGGTCTCGTGCTTGCCTTTTCAATCGGGTCGAAGTTACATGGGGTCGTCTGTGAAATTCTCGCGCGCGCTGGGAGATACACCCAATCTGACTCACATCTAGCTCCTGACAGCTCCTGCTGACTGGACCCGCATCCAGTGCAGGGTCCGAATGTGAAGGGAACCGAATCTGCAACATATCCGCCTGCTAAAGTAAAAATCGTTACAGCGTTTTGAACACATTTCAAATTTTAAAGTTTACGTGCGCTTATACGGTAATAAAACAAGTTTTTTCAAGGGGTGCGCTTATAATCGAGGAGGGGATATAAGCGCCATATGCCAATTAGAAGCGCCAGGCGCTTATCCTAGGGTGGCGCTTATATCGGGGGGAAGACGGTACAGTAGGGTGAGGTGATCGATTATCCAGACGACCGTTAGGCCATGTTCTTATGAGGCCCAAAAATAGATTCAAACAAGTGCTCTGTTATCAGTTGTTTTCAGGCCGACCACTGGCCCATGTGATGTTCTTACGAGGCGCGAGAATAGCCTCCACTTCTTTCAGCATCGTCTCATCAATGCCTCGCTCTGCTGCTTGCATCAAATACACAACCAATGTGCTATGCTGAGTTGTTCTCGGGTCGACCACTGGCCCATGTGGTGTCCTTATGAGGCGCGAGAATACCCTCCACTTCTTTCAGCATCGCCTCATCAATGCCTCGCTCTGCTGCTTCGATCACTGCTGCAACATTCTCCCGCACCTGCATCCACCTCGAGGGCACTCATATTAGACTTCACACGAATATCTCCCCCATTTCATTCAGCAAGTTCTCATCAATATTAGCATTTCTCATTAAAGTTCCGATGACCTGTCTGCTTCGATCACCGATGCCAAAATCTCCTCCACCTGCATTGACAGAAAGCGGGCAAGGAAGGACACAGCGCTGCAGCCTCAACCATACCTGCCTCCCCACTGCTGCTCAGCACCTCTGCGAACCACACAGGAACATTCAGACACTTCACTTCCTTCACGTGCTTTGCTGCACCATGCTTTTGAGGCGCCTCAAAAGTGGACTGCTGTTCAGAGCACCTCTGTCAACCACACAGGAAGAATCAAACACTTTACTCCCCTCACCTGCTGCACCGTGCTCATGTGCCCACAAGTATCATCACAATCAGCCAGCCTCCCTGCTGCTGCACAAACCACACCATTTCTGCCCATCCAGCCACCTTAAACTGCTTCTTCCCCCTCACCTGCTGCACTGTGCTCATGCCCACAAGCGACGTCGTGATGGCTGGGTTGAGAGTTGCAAACTGCAGGACCAGCCGGTTCGATCAGTGCCGCTGCTGCTGCACATAACACCACACCTCTTACAGCCACCTTAGAAACGCCCCTCTCCTCACCTGCTGCTCTTTCTCTCCTTACCTGCTGCACTGTGCTCATGCCCACAAGGGTCGTGGTGATGGCTGGGTTGAGCGTTGCAAACTGGAGGGCCAGTGCGGGTGATCAGCCTCCCTGCTGCTACACACACCGCCACACCATTGCTACTCACACAACCACCGTTTCAAACGCTCATCACGCAACAATCTTTAAACGCTTCTCCCCTCACCTGCTGCACTGTGCTCATGCCCACAAGCGTCGTGGTAATGGCTGGGTTGAGCTTTGCAAACAGGAGAGCATCAATCTCCCGGTTACCATGCTATTGCTCACTACACGACACTCCCAACATTTCTCCCCTCACCTGCTGCACTGTGCTCATGCCCACAAGCTTCGTGGAGATGGCTGGGTTGAGCTTTGCAAACAGGAGAGCATCAATCTCCCGGTTACTATGCTATTGCTCACTACACGACACTCCCAACATTTCTCCCCTCACCTGCTGCACTGTGCTCATGCCCACAAGCGTCGTCGTGATGGCTGGGTTGAGCGTTGCGAACTGCAGGGCCAGCCGGGGCAGCGATGCTCCCCGCTGCTGACAGGCCAGTGCTGCCGCCTTGCATGCATCCTGATGGTAAGCAGAGGAGCAGAAGGAAAGATGGGTTCAGATGGGTGGAGAGAGCTGCAAACTAGAGGGTCAACGGGCCAACCGGCGAGTGCTGCCGCCTTGCATGCATCCTGAAAGTTATGAAGACAGAGCGGAAGACAAAGGGAGTATTGTTAGAGTCTCTAAGTGCAAAAAAAATGCGTTTTATCCAGTCTAACTTCGAGAGAGGGCAAGAAGGGGGGCACTGGTAAGCCACGAGCTGGATTGAGCGTGGCAAATAGAAGGGCCAGTTGGGGCAGCGATGCTCCCCGCTGCTGACAGGCCAGAGCTGCCGCCTTGCGAGGCGCCTCAAAAGTCGGTTTTTGAGGCGCCTAAAAAATGCTGACACCAAAACAACTCATTATAGTCTTGCCCCTCTCTTTCCAATACCCATCAGTGCTGCGCGCGTGTGCTTGCATGCATCCTGATGGTGAGAATGACAGAGGGAGGGAGGGGGGCAGGCGACAGGCAGGCGAAAGGCCAGCGAAGGGCAGGCGTGGAATGATCCCCACGAGTCTGACTTGCTTTACAAGTGTGTGTTGAGTCGACTCAAAACACACCTGAGTCGACTCAAAACACACCTGAGTCGACTCAAAACACACCTGAGTCGACTCAAAACACGAGAGGCCAGCGAAAGGCAGGCGTGAAATGATCCCAACATGATTCTGACTTGCTTTCCACTATTTGGATCCACTTACCTTCAGCGGTTGGGGCGCAGGGTGGCTTTTGAGTCGACTCAAAAGTCAGCGAAGGGCAGGTGAGAGGCCAGCGAAGGGCAGGCCTGGAATGATCCCAACATGAGTCTGACTTGCTTTCCACTATTTGGATCCAGTTACCTTGAGGGGCTGCGGTACGGGGTGCCAGGAGGGGGGTCCCTGGGGGGTGAGCAAGCCCATTGATAGCGGCGAGGCACTGATGACCCCCACGCCCTGCTGCTGCAGCCACGGCAGCAGCGGCTCAAGCGTTGTGTCGTTGAGTGAGTAGTGGCAGTAGGAGAGGATGAGATCGAGCGAGGCGGGAGGGAGGCAAGAGGCAGGAGCAGGAAAGAGGCAGGGGGGGGGGGGGGGGGGGTTACCTTGAGGGGTTGTGGTGCGGGGTGCCAGGAGGGGGGTCCCTGGGGGGTGAGCAGGCCCATAGAGAGAGGAGACGCGCTGATGACCCCCACGCCCTGCTGCTGCAGCCACGGCAGCAGCGGCTCGAGCGTCGTGTCGTTGAGTGAGTAGTGGCAGTAGGAGAGGATGAGATCGAGCGAGGCGGGAGGGAGGCGGGGGAGAATGGATTGGTAGACGGAGAGAGGGAGGCCCGTGATGCCGATGAATCGAATCTTGCCGGCCGCTTTCAGCTCCTGGAGGGCCGGGATTGTCTCATTCACGATCTGGGGACGGGGAGGAGGGGAGGAAAAGGGGGAGAGAGAGGGGAGGGGGTTTGATGGCATGTTTGATGGGAGGAGAGATGTCAGATGGGAACAAAGGAGCAGTGGGAGTGGCACTGAACAATGTCCTTCCACTGCCACTGCTCTTTTGTTCCCATCTGTCCAGATACAGTGTCTGCAGCCTGCATGACACAGCTCTCCTCCTCCACGCTTCTTCTGATCCGACCCGATCCGATCAGCACATGCACCAAACCAGCAGCAGAGAGTCCCAGAGAGTCCCAGAGGCAACCCTTCCCCTCCCCCTTCCCACTCACCTCACCTGATCCAGACTCCTGGATTCAATGTCATGGCACTGAACGAACAATATCCCGGTATGGCGCCTGCAGCCGCTGGCAGCTCTGCTGCACGATTTTGAGTCGACTAAAAAATAGGCTCAATGTCACGGCACTGAACGAACAGTATCCAGGTACGGCGCCTGCAGCGACTGGCAGCTCTCCTGCACGATCCTCCTGACCCGACCTGTACAGTCCAGTGTCCATCTTGGTAGCAACCAGACATAAGCACCCTTGACCAGTGTCCATCTCTCACCATTGGTCCATCTTTCACCTTCCCCTTCCCCTTCCCTCTCACCTCACCTGATCCAGACTCCCGAATTCAATGTCGTGGCATTGAACAATATCCAAGTAAGGTGTCTGCAGGCGCGCACAGCTCTCCTCAACGCTCTTTCTGATCCGATCCGCACTGAAGTCGAACTCGTCCTGCCCGTACCGCCCCACCTTGGTAGCAGAGCAACAACCCTCACCTGATCCAGACTCCCGAACTCAATGTCATGGCATTGAACAATATCCAAATACGTTGTCTGCAGCCGCGCACAGCTCTCCTCCACGCTCTTTCTGATCCGATCCGCACTGAAGTCGAATTCGTCCTGCCCGTACCGGCCCACTTTAGTTGCGACTATCACATCCTCCCGCGAGCACGGCAAAGTGGCTATCGCTCGACCCAGCACCGTTTCAGCTCTTGTTGACCCATAGAACCTGGAATGGAAAGGCCCGAACGGAAAGGGGTGGGGAGGAAGAGGGTCGACGGAAGCACTGAAGTCGAATTCGTCCTGCCCGTAACGCCCCAAATTGGTGGCAGTCAATACCTCCTCCCCCAGGCACGGCAATGTGGCGATGGCACGCCCTAAAATTGTTTCGGCCCGGGTAGACCCATAGAACCTGGAGAGTGGAACGGGGTGAGAAAGAGAAGAGGGGAGAAAGCCTCTAAGTCAAACTCGTCCTGCCCGTACCGCCCCACCTTGGTTTTGTACGATAACCACGTCCTCCCGCGGGCAGGGCAGCGTGGCAATGGCACACCCTAGTACGGTCTCGGCTCGTGTGGATCCGTAGAACCTGCAGGCAGAGAGCAGAGCAGAGGGAGGAGGAAAGCAGTGGAATAAATTCAGACTGGTCCTGCCCGTACCGCCCCACCTTGGTGGCAATCACTACGTCCTCCCGCGGGCAGGGCAGCGTGGCAATGGCACGTCCTAGTACGGTCTCGGCTCGTGTGGATCCGTAGAACCTGCAAAAGTGGAGAGCCGCAAAGGTGGAGAGAGAGCGAGAGCGAGAGAGAGAGAGAGAGAGAGAGAGAGAGAGAGAGAGAGAGAGAGAGAGAGAGAGAGAGAGAGAGAGAGAGAGAGAGAGAGAGGCAGGAAGCACTGGAATCAATCAAGTCAAACCCGTCCTCCCCATACCGCCCCACCTTGGTGGCAACCACCACATCTCCCCGCGCGCACGGCAGCGTGGCGATAGCCCGTCCTGGCCCTGTCTCTGCTCAGGTAGACCCGTAGAACCTGCAGGCAGGGAGCAGAAGGCGGAGGGAGGGGAGGGGAGCAAGCACTGGAACCAAACTCGTCCTGCCCGGGTGGAACCCGTAGAACCTGGAAGCAGGGGTACAAGGAGATAAAACACTGAAGGCGATCTCATCTGGGCTGGGCCGTACCGCCCCTGTCCGCGCGCCCTCCTACTCGTCGATCGCGTCGAACACACCTTTTATCACACATGACACGACCAACTAGTTGACTTTTGAGTCGACTCAAAAGTCAACCCTGTCCTCGCGCCCTCCTACTCGTCGATCGCGTCGAGTCGAACACACCTTTTATCACACATGACACGACCAACTAGACTAAGGACACGTACGGCGAGACGTCAAAGAGGTTAATTCCGAGTTTAGCGGCCTCGTGCACGGCCCGCACGCCCTCCTCCTCGTCGATCTCCTCGAATACGCTCCCCAACGGCGACGCACCGAAACTCACGATCGAGAGGTCCAGACCCGTGCGACCCAACGGGCGACGCGGCAGCGACATCGCAGTCGTCGCAGCGTCGGTCGCGGTCGCAGCGTCGGTCGGGAACGAATGAGCGGCGGAAAATCGAGAGCGAAGGACGGGGGATGAGGAAGTTAGAGGCGCTGCTGAAACTGCGAGGTAGGTGCGGCGGTAGCTCGTGGAAAGACGAGGAGAGCTGAGGTGTAGACGACGAGCGGCACTAAATTGGCAGAGCGGGGTTTCCAACGGTAAGCAGTGATGTCGAAAGTTCAGATTTCTCGCGTGGAGATTCAGGGTCATGCCTTGGTCACTCGGCTCGAGGAGAAAATGCGGCGCAGGGAACGGAGGAGTGCGGGAAACGTTTAGTCAATTGTGACGCGTCCTAGCGTAAGTTCTCGTGTTCTGATGAGTAAGATCGGATCAGGCAACCCAGCCAGGATGGTAGTGTACCGAGAAACAAGAGGCAGTCGCCCAGGCGAAGACGCGAACTATATAAACCAATGAACTGTTGTGACAGCTGTTCGCAAAGACGTCATTTCGTGTGCTCCAGTGAAAAATATGGCCTTGGTAACGCAGCGAAATTGAACGGGTAACATCGGAATTCAGCTGTTTTCGTGAACTCGCCCAAACTGGAACTCCATTCATTCAACACCTAACTAATTGGGGAATACCTGAGTTGAGCCTAAATATTGATTAATTAGTCAAATACTTCAGCTATTCCAAATTCTTGTCTCTTCGCGAACCACGCCATGTCGTAAACCGCCTGTTACTGCGGACTGAGGTTTGAGACGTTTCAAATCAACGCCCTATTAGTGGTTTCGAGTGAGAGCCATTGATTGACGCCTACTAGTAGAAGTAGCTTGTCGAACCACACGGGCCGTTGAATCACGCGTTACTGCAGACCGCTGCGTGAGTCGACCCAGAAATTGGTCCGATGCAAACTGATAGTTGTTACGAAGGGCCTAGTAGTATTTGCTACTAGTTGATCCGAAGCGGCCTTGTCATTGATCCGAAACGGCCTAATAGCCTGTCTAACCGCTTCGGGCCATGAACCGTGTGTTACTGCGGACTGTCGGCATCGTGGGAGGAGGCTTCGTGGCCGTTTCCGTCACGTCGTCGCTGTGCCTGAGAGTTGCGACTGCAGTGCTGGAAAAACGACGAGTGAGTCCGTCTGCTCATCCCCCTCTTTCCCCCTTCCCTTTTCTTACTCCGTTCCGCCCTCTCCCTCAACTCCGCTTACTCTCCGCTCATACCTCTTCGAAGTCGTCGCTGTGTCTGAGGGCTGCGACTACATTGTTGGAAAAACGACGAGTGAGCTCGCCTGCCCATCCCCCTCCGGTCCCTCCCCCCTGCTCATCCCCCTCCCGTCCCTCCCCGTCCTTCCCATCCCCTTTTCCTCCAACCCTGCACCCTGCTTTGAGGTTATTTTTGAGGCGCCTAAAAAATCTGCTCGTCCGCCCATCCCCCTCCCGTCCCTCCCCCCCTTCTCATCCCCCTTTCCTCCAACCCTGCACCCTGCTTTCTCCCCGGCTCATCCCCTCGCTCGCCCACGTTGCTGCTCTTCCTGAGGTAACAACTGCGGTGCTGGAGAAAAATCGACAACGTCCGTTCTCCAATCCCCCTTTCCCGTCCCTCCCTCCCTCCCTCCCTTTCTTGCGTTTCTGTTTCCCTCCCCCTTCTCCTCCCTCACCTACTTTCTTATCTTCCCCTCTCCCTCTCTCTGTCTCTCCCTCTGTATCTCCCTCCCTTCCTAACGTATGTAGCTCATTATGTGCTAATCCCATTGCTCATGCGCTATCCCATTGCTCATTATGTGCTATCCCATTTCTCTGTGATCTTTTACTGTGCTCATTATGTGCTATCCCATTTCTCTGTGATCTTTTACTGTGCTCATTATGTGCTATCCCATTTCTCTGTGATCTTTTACTGTGCTCATTACGTGCTATCCCATTTCTCTGTGATCTTTTACTTCGCTTCCCTTTCCCATATGCGCCAAGGCCGTCCCTCCTTGCACAGAGCGCCAGTGCAAGCTGTTTTAATGTTGTCATTTGTGTGGTTCCAGTCGTATCAAGAGTACACTCAGTAATTCCCACAAGTACCATCGCCACATAGGCCAAGGCTGCCCCTCCTTACACCGTGTGCCAAAGGGAGCGGTTCTACGGTCTACCCTTGTCAGTTGTGCCGATCAGCGGAGAAGATCCAATGGAGCCCACTGGCTGACTGACCTGACCCTGTGCTGCCTCTTCCATGCATATGCCCCACATGCAAAGAGGTGACTTTTGAGTCGACTCAAAAGTCTCAGTTGTGTTGATCAGCGGGGAAGATTAGTGGAGTCCTCTCGCTGACCTTGTGCTGCCTCGGCCACCCATATGCCCCACATGCTACGGCAACAAGATTTGACGGAGTGACGGTTTTCTTCTTTCACCTCCCCTTTCCTTCCCCACATAGACCAAGACCGCCCCTCCTTGCACCGTGTGTCAAGGCAAGCGGTTCTACCCTTGTCAGCTGTGTCGATCTTCGGGGAAAGCAATTCTGCCCATGCTCATCTTCTTGCATACCCCTCCAATAAACCCCATCTTTCAACCCCAGTTCCCTTCCGTCTAGGCCAAGACTGCTCCCCCTTTCACCGTGTGTCAAGGCAAGCGGTTCTACCCTTGTCAGTTGTGTCGATCTTTGGGGAAAACAATTCTGCCCATGCGCATCTTCTTGCATACCCTTCCAGTAAACCCCATCTTTCAACCCCACTTCCCTTCCATCTAGGCCAAGACTGCTCCCTTTTGCACCGTGTGTCAAGGCAAGCGGTTCTACCCTTGTCAGCTGTGCCGATCAGCGGGGAAGATTCAGTGGAGCCCACTCGCTGACCCTGTGCTGCCTCGGCCATGCATGCATATGCCCCACATAAACCTCATTTCAATTCCAATCTTCTCCCCCTCACAGGTCAAGACTGCCCCCCCTTGCACCGTGTGTCAAGGCAAGCGGTTTTACCCGTGTCAGTTGTGCCGATCAGCGGGGAAGATTCAGTGGAGTCCTTTAGCTGACCCTGTGCTGCCTCGGCCATGCATATGCCCCACATGCAAAGGCAACAAGTGCGTTACAGTGTCTAAGTGTTTTTTTTTTTGCGTCCGTGCTGTAGCCCCCATCATGCGTTGAAGCATCTTGGTGTTTTTGTTTTCAATGTCAGTGCTCATATTGATTCATTGCCATGTCTGCTTGCTTGATACGTGCAGGATCCAAAAATGTTTGAACTGCGCTGGAAGAGGTTATGTTTAGTAACTTTCAATGAATCCAATTCTTGTGCCATCTCCATGCTCCCTAAGATTTGAAATGCATGGCTTCCATGCTGAACACATTCAAATCACATTATGCTCGTGCTACTGTACGGAGAAAATTAACTTGTCACCTACACTCTATCTTGGAGATTGTAAAAGGAAACGAGGAAACTCAGTAGTGGAGTCAAATCCTTCACACACACATCTCCTCTGCAGTTGTCTGATGGTGATGCCTCTGGACTCTCTGGTGACACTTAGTGATCTGGACTCTTGGCGAATATTGTTCCACCATTTCGTGTAGATTCCGTCGAAATGGCTGCCGTTTCTTCCGCGCTCGTGTCAGCTGCCTCTCCCCCTCGAGATTCCTTGGTTCTGCTTCTAATGAAGGGTCATCCAGGCAGCGGTAAAAGCACACTCGCTCGAAGCCTCGCACGATCCCTACGCTGGCCACTAGTCGATAAAGACGTCTTTCGCGACGCGACGATGCTTCTAGAACGGCCGGACGGACCGTGCGCGACTCCCGTCGACGCACGTGTGCTGAACAGCCTATCATACGATGCCATGTGGCAGATGGCAGAGGTCCAGCTAGATCTAGGTTTATCCGTGGTTGTCGATTGTCCTCTAGCGCACGAGGCGCTTTTTAAAGCCGGCGTGGCGCTCGGTACGCGTGTCGGAGCTGAGGTTGCGTTGATCGAGTGCCACGTGTCGGATTTGGACACGTGGAAACGGAGGATCCAGTCCCGTGCAGCGGCTGCTCTGTCTGACGGTCGACCATCAGAAAACGTCGAGAATTGTGAGGGAAGCTGCCGGCCGTCTGTTCTTAGCCAACCACATGCTGGAAGCAACAGAGGGAATAACGAGAGCTCGGGAGCTAGTGCTGGAACTGTTTCTGTGAGTTCTGACGGAGCAAGCGAGATGGTTCCTGCCGCTATAAGAGCAGACGGTAAAGAAGCAATACACAGGCAGACAGAGCTGGTTAGACGCGTTAGTGATTCTAATGATGTGAGCGAGCATGAAAGAAGAGGGGAAATTAAGATGGAAAGTGCGAGTGAGAGTGAAAAGCAACAGACCGTAGACAGGTTGAAGTTTACAGCGCGCATGCACACAGACTCAGGAAGACGCGGGAGTAAAAATGATGATGTGAGCGTGCAGGAAAGAGGAGGGGACAGCGCGAGTGAGAGTGAAAAGCAACAGACTGCAGACAGGTTGAGTTTTACAGAGCGCATGCACACAGACTCAGGCGGAGGCGGGTGTAGAGACGATGATGTGAGCAGTCAGGAAAGTGGAGGGGACAGCGCGAGTGAAAGAGGGACTAGGATTGAGAGTGAGAGGGGGAAAGCGGCAGGAGTAAGTTTGAAGGGGCGGTGGCACCGGCCGGCTTGTTGGGAGGACATGCAGGAACTTCTGGATAGGTACAACGGCTGCTGGACCTACCCCACAGGTTCGGTACCGAAGCTGATGATAGACACGGGGATTGTGGGTCCGGATGAAGCTCTGGCCATGGCTTTGGGTTGGTTACAAACTGCCCTGGTGCTTAGGAGAAACTGAGTATGCTTTATCTATCTCACCAGCTCTTCACCTCTTAGACACAACGACTGTGGGCCCAGACCCAGACGAAGCACTGGCGCTGGCGTTGGCCTGCTTGGAATCTGCCTTGGTGATCGGGAAATACCGAGGAAGGGCTATATACACTTCATCTTATCCCGCCCGCACCGCATTGTGTAAAATAGTGAATCCGTTTTTTGTCCGATAGGGATTACATACTGTATGTTCAATTTGGATAGAGCTGTACAAGAAAGCCCTGGGCTCCTGTATTGTGCTGGTGACATGTTTTCATCAGGTTACCATGCTGCCGCGGCCAAACTTGCATTTGTCAAGGCAATGATTCCTGGCAATGCTTGTACTAATAATTCCTTGTCTTCTGCCATAATGCTTGTACTGTAGTACTGCTATTGCCATTGTAGCAACTGGGCATGTGTATGTGCATTATGGATTGGGTTGGTTCTTTCATCCACCTGTGATATGATAACATGTCATCCTGCGAGCTCCAACCACACTTAGTCGTTTGCCTACATTAAATGAATGTGCCTGCCTTTCATGCCCATCTTCTGTAAATCAAGCCTTTGCATTGCATTGCCATTTCGTGTGAACCAAGAGCTCAATCGCCGTTTCTTGTCCACATTCAAAGAATCGTCCGTAACACTGGCCTTCTGTCCAAATTCGCTGAACCAAGTATCACGATCTTCCGCCTTGCAAAGGCCTAGTGGGGTACCTTCTGTCTCCCTCCACAGCCATTGGTCCGCTTCTGCTCGTCTCCCTCCCCTCCCAAGTTGACTTTCTAGTCGATTCAAAAGTCAGCTAGTGGGGTACTCTATTCCCTTCCAAAGCCATTGGTCCGCTTCTGCTCTTATCCTTCTCCTTCCGCCTCTCCCCTTTCTCCCTTTTCGCCCCTCTGTCGGTCTTCCCCCCCGTTTCTCTGTCCCTCACCTCTCCTTTCTCCCGCTGTCCTTTCCCTTCTCTCCCCTCTCTTCCTTCTCTCCCTTCTCTCCCCTCTCTTCCCTCTCTCCTTTCCCTTCCCTCTCTCCCTTCTCTCCCTTCTCTCCCCTCTCTCCCCTCTCTCCCTTCTTTGTCTGCCTCAATCATCTCATCCCACCCATCTGCACCGCTCACTCCTCTTTCAACCCCACCACCTTCCTGTGAGTTTCTTCGAACAATCCGAGCCTCGTCCGAACCTGACGAGCTTCGGGAGGCAGGTTGCGAGTGGGAGGAGGAGGGTCGGGCACGGGAGGAGGAGGAAGGAGGTCTTGCGCTGCTGCCGCCGATGCTGCCGCTGCTGCCGATGCTGCCGACGCTGCCGACGCTGCCGCTGCTGCTGATCCCACTGATAGCACTATCATTCAAACCGCTGCTGTCTGTTGCTGCTGGAACAGTCGAAGGGTTGCTGCTGCTGCTGCTGCTACGCCTGATAGGCTGAGAGAATAGGGAGGGGTTTTCCTTATCTGCGGAAAAAAGGTGGGAAGACAAGTGGGGTGAAACAAAGCCATGAGATTGCGTAACACTCTCTACCGTTGCTGCTGCCGTGCTTCAAAGATTTGGAGAACAGGAAAGTATATTTTTAACTGGTGTGGTGAATGAGGGAACAATACCACATGCCATGCACCCAGTACCTACGTGCCACAAGTAACAATACAGCACCTTACACGATACAGCACCTTACACGATACAGTATCTTAGATGATACAGTATCTTACACGATACAGTATCTTACACGATAAAGTATATTACACGATACAGCACCTTACACGATACAGCACCATACACAAGACAAACTGTGCCTTCATTAGAGTTACCTAAGGGTGTGTGCCATACCCCCAATGCTCGGTCCCATTTGTCAGCAGCAGCATGCACCTGAACACTACCTTACACGATACACCACCTTACACAATACAAACTGTGGCTTCTTAAGTTAAGAGTTACCTAATTGGATCGCCTGCCTGCAGGGTGTTTGCCACGTCCTCCATGCTCGGTCCCATCAGTCAGCATCCACCTCAACAGCCACCTCACGCGAAATTGAAGCCTTCCTTTCGCAGATGAAGTACCTATATTAATCGCCTAAAATACACCTAACTGGATCGCTCGCAGGGTGTGTGCCTGCCACGTCCACCATGCTCGGCCGCATCAGCCAGGCCTTCTCAAGATGACGTACTTAAATGGATTGCCTAACACGCACCTAACTGGATCGCCTGCAGGGTGTATGTCACGTCCTCTGGTTGGCCGCATCAGTCAGCAGCAGCACCATCCACTTGAACAGTGTGTGTGCCTTACTTACGTGATACAATAACCGTGCCTTCTTAGAATGTATCTAGTACCTAATTGGATCGCCTGCAGGGTGTGTGCCACGTCCTCCATGCTCGGCCGCATCAGCGGGTCAAACTGGATGCACGACTCCACCAGCTCAGCGCACCGAGCAAACGCTGACGTGGCAGCCACCCTGGGCAGGGCCACGTCAGCATCGGCACTGGCTCCGGCGCTGGTGCCACCTGTCACTCCTCCTTCGCCTCCGCCCCCTTCTGGCGTGTGACCGGCAAGCATGGAAGGATCTATCAGCTCATCCCACCTCTTGTCCTTCAAGAATGGTGTGGCCTGAAAGGTGTGTGGGAGAAGGATGGGGTGGGAAGTGGAGGGAGGTGGGGGAGGAGGTGCAAAGTCAACTAAGAGGAAAGGGAGTGTGAGCAACAGGCATGGAAGGATCGATCCGCTCATCCCACCTCTTGTCCTTCAGGAATGGCATGGCCTGAAAGGTGTGTGGGGAAAGGACGGGGAGCGTGGGGGAGGGAGGGGGAGGGAGGGTGGGGAGGAGGTGCAGAGTAAGTGAAGAGGAAGGGGAGTGCTGGCTGCAAGCATGGAAAGATCTATCAGCTCATCCCACCTCTTGTCTTTCAGGAATGGTGTGGCCTGAAAGGTGTGTGGGGAAAGGACGGGGAGGGTGGGAAAGGGAGGGGGAGGGAGGGTGGGGAGGATGTGCAGAGTAAGTGAAGAGGAAGGGGAGTGCTGGCTGCAAGCATGGAAAGATCTATCACCTCATCCCACCTCTTGTCTTTTAGGAATGGTGTGGCCTGAAAGGTGTGTGGGGAAAGGACGGGGAGGGTGGGGGAGGGAGGGAAAGGGAGGGGGAACGAGTGGCCTGGCCTGTGAGTGCTGAAGTTCCCAAACTCAGGCAAAGCTGCCAATTCAGGCAAAGCTGCCAACACACAACAGCATTCCCTCATTCAACTGATGCGCCAGCACCACACGAAAAAAGAACCACACCAAGGATCATCACCAGCAAGCAGGCCTCAACAAACCAGACTCAACCAGTGTGTGAGCAGCGTGCCATCCTGAAACACCAGCACTCTGCCTCTCAGAATCTTCAGCAGCAACCAGTGCTATCGTTCTGCCATGTGCATGTGACCAGCAACAACCAACAAGAAGCACTCCTCACTCACCCAGTGTGTGAGCAGCGTGCCATCCCCAAACACCGGCTCTCTGCCTCTCAGAATCTCCTGCAACACGACCACCATCCCTAATGCCATGTGACCGGCACCACCCAACGATATCGCCTTGACTCACAGCACGCAACCACAAGAAAAGAGCCACCCGTCACTCACCCAATGTGTGAGCAGCGTGCCGTCCTCACGTGACAAAAGTGTTGTTTTGAGACGTCTCGAACACCGGCTCTCTGCCTCTCAGAATCTTCAGCAACACCACCACCATCCCTAATGCCTTGTGACCACCACCACCGAACATCGTTGGGTGGCGCCAGTGCCGGCCGGTGCTGATGTGGCCCTGCCCTGCCCAGGATCAGCACCACCCACCCAACGATATCGAAATCACTTTTGAGAATTCCCGAAAGTGATTTCAATACAACATCGTTGGGTGGCGCCAGTGCCGGTGCTGATGTGGCCCTGCCCAGGATCAGCACCACCCACCCAGCGATATTGCTTTAACTCACAGCACGCAACCACAAGAAAAGAACCATCCGTCACTCACCCAATGCGTCAGCATCGTGCCGTCTTCAAACACGGGCACTCTGCCACTCAGTAGTTCCAGCAACACCACTCCGAAGCTGAGATAGGGGCGGGGGAGAAAGGGAGCGAGGGAGAGCGGGAGTGGGGACACGGCATTACGAAGGGTGTGGGGAGTGGGTGGTATTGAAGACGAGTCAACAGGCTGTCAGTGCCGGCAGCACCACTCTGAAACTGAGAGGGGAGCAGGGGAGAGAGGGAGCGACGGAGTAGGGGCATGCATGGCATTACAAAGGGGTGTGGTGGGGAGTGGAGGGTGATGAAGGTGAGCGAACGGGGTGTAAGGGTCAGCAGAAACACCACTCCAAGCTGAGCTGAGAGAGGGGCGTGGGAGAGAGGGAGTGGGAATGGCATGTGTATGTGACCAGCCAGCAACAACCAACAAGAAGCTCCCCTCACTCACGCAATGTGTGCCCATTGCTTATGTGCTATTGACCAGCAACAACCAACAACAGCAACAACCACTGTGTGCCCATTGCCACATGCGCGTTCTTCCCCCGCATCTCCACCATCTCTCCTGGTTGTCCCCTTTAGAAGCACTCATTTGTGCCTACCTGTACACGTCCATAGCAGTGCTGATCTCCCCCGTCATTAGAATTTCAGGAGCCATGTGGCCGTGCGTGCCGTGCCCATTGCCACATCCACGTTCTCCTCTTCAAAGACTGTCCCTGCGTGTACCCATTCCCACAACACCTAAGTGACGGAAGACGCGTCTAGCGTCTTAGACGGTTGCGTCTAGACGCAGCGTCTAAGACGCTAGACGCATTTCCGGCTAAGTTAGACGCATATTAGACGGAAACCCGGGCAGGCCTAAAAAAAGGTTCGGGCAGCCTAAAAAAACTTCCGAGGGCCATGGGGAGGGTGGGGGACATGCAAATATGACCCATTTGGGTCAAATTTCTGTTGTACCAAAACTTTTCCCTCATATTTTGAGTTCACAACAATCCTCATTTCTCATCATACATAGTTAGGGGATCACTTCTCTCTAGCAGTAGCCAACATGAAGTACATAGCTACTACTACATCCCTGCAATCACTAGGCCTCCTCCAACCTCTCCTCCTACTCCTCCGCCTCCTCCTCCTCCTCCGCCTCGTCCTCCTCCTCCTCCTGCCCCTCCCACTCATCCATGCACACGTCGTCCTCATCCGCCTCCACCTCCCCATCCTCCTCCAATTTGTACCCCTCCAATTTGTACCCCTCGCGAAATTCAATTTCGGACTTGGGATTTTTTTTTCCCGGGCTGACCGAATTTTTTTTACCCAAGCGTCTAGCGTCTAAACATGCGTCTAGCGTCTGGACGCTAGACGCAAGACGCGTCTTGCGTCTTCCGTCACTTAGCACAACACCCTCCCTCCACACACACCTGTACACGTCAGTTGCAGCGCTGATCTCGCCGGTCATGAGTATTTCAGGGGCCATGTGGCCGTGCGTGCCCATTGCCCCATCCACGATCTCCCCCAGCGTCTCCACCATCTTCCTCTCGTGGTTGCTGTCCCCTTTATAAACACACTTAGTTGTGCATACCTGTACACATCAGTAGCAGCGCTGATTTCCCCAGTCATCAATATCTCAGGAGCCATGTGCCCTTGCGTGCCCATGGCCACATCCACGTTCTCCCCCAGCGTCTCCACCATCTCCCCTGTGGTGGGATCCTCTACTAGGATGGTTTGCTTGATCAGCTTCGCACACCCAAAGTCAGCCACCTGTACGGAAGGGTGGGATGGGAGGGAAACAGAGGGAAGAAATGGAGAGATGGGAGTCGGTGGCAACTCCCCCAGCGTCTCCACCATTTCCCCCGTGGTGGGGTCCTCAACTAGAATCGTCTGCTTGATCAGCTTCGCACACCCAAAGTCCGCCACCTGTAGGGAAGGGGATGTACGACGGAAGCCGTGAGAGAGAGAGAGAGAGAGAGAGAGAGAGAGAGAGAGAGAGAGAGAGAGAGAGAGAGAGAGAGAGAGAGAGAGAGAGAGAGAGAGAGAGAGAGAGAGAGAGAAGCGGAAGGAGAGGGACTACTACCGACACACTGAACACGTGGTGTTCTGCGCCCTGGCCGTCGAGACCTATGGGGCAAACGCGCCCCCCACGACGGCGTTCCTGAAACTGCTGGCCACAGCAGCAGCTAGGAACCGCTTCAGGGCCAGCCCCTTGGCGAAATCCGCCAAGAAGATGGCCTGCCACTTCAGCCAACGCTGGTCAGTGGCCCTCCAGCGCTCCCAGGCGAACGCCCTGCACACCAAGGCCAGGGCTGGGATTGAGGCAGCACACCCCCAGATGGCAGCGGACCCCTGGCCGCTGCACCTGGGGGACATCCTCCACACGCTGGAGGGCTAGAGGGTCACTCAGGGGGGAGGGGAGGGGAAGAGGGGTGAGTTGATGGGCTTATGGGACTGAGGTTATCATGGATAGAACTGCATGTCTGTACCCCTGCTGAATTAATACAACGGACCATTTGAGAGAGAGAGAGAGAGAGGGAGAGAGAGTGTGAAGGACAGGGGTGGAAAAGAGAGGGTGGACAGGACAGGTGGTGGCTGAAAGGTGGGTCTCCCCCAGCGTCTCCACCATCTCCCCCGTGGTGGGGTCCTCAACTAAAATGGTCTGCTTGATCAGCTTCGCACACCCAAAGTCAGCCACCTGGAAGTGGGGGTTGGGGTGTGATTCCTTTCCAAGCCAAGAGAGGGCATGAGGCGGAAAATGAGAGAGTGCAAAAGCGTGGAGAAAAGGGAGAGGAAGGTGGTGGTTCTCCCCCAGCGTCTCCACCATCTCGCCCGTGGTGGGGTCCTCAACCAGAATCGTCTGCTTGACTTTTGAGACGTCTCAAAAGTTGTGTTGGGGTCCTCTACTAGGATGGTCTGCTTGACCAGCTTCGCACACCCGAAGTCAACCACCTGGAAGGACAAGGTATGTGTGTGCGTAAGCTGTGAGAGTGGAGTGTTTGTGAAGGAGAGAGATGGAGAAGAGAGAGGGAAAGGTGGTGGGTCTCCCCGTGCATTGAGGTGAATTTTGAGGCGCCTCAAAATTCACCTCAAGGTATGTGTGTGCGTAAGATGTGAGAGTGTTGTGTTTGTGAAGGAGAGGGATGGAGAAGAGAGCGGGAAAAGTGGTGGGTCTTCCCCACTCCACCATCTTTCCCGTGTTGGATCCTTGCCAACCCAACAGCAAGCCATGTTGGTGTGATGTGACTTTTGAGAATTCTCGGTGTGACTTTTGAGAATTGTCGGAGAACCACCTCATCCTTGCAACCTGCTCTTCCTCTTGTCACTCCCTTGCCTTCCTTCTCCTTACGTGGTTGATCAGCCTCAGCCACCACCTTTGAAAGAGTTTCCTCCCTCACCCCGTAGGTCCTCCCATAGTGGCGTGCCACCGGATGCTAGATCTGAGGTAACAGCTTTCCACTAATATGAGAGAATAACAGGAGAAAAGCAACGAGAGGGTGTTTGGTACTGAATTTACCTGAACCTGGCTCAGTCGCACACTTCTCGATGTGCACCTCGAGCCAGGCCCAGTTGCTTCAGATTGGTTCGTTAGATTCCCACCCCTCGATGTTTCCTCTAACCCTTCCCAACAACTTCGCCACAACCCCCCATACTCCCCAGCAACTCACCCACAAATTGTAATCATACAAACACTACACCTGAACCTACACTTGCATCTACACCCGCGCACCAACTTTTATCGCATATGCACGAAGTGCATATTCGGTGACAGAATTCTAGGTGTGACTTTTGAGAATTCTAGGTGTGACTTTTGAGAATTCTAGGTGTGACTTTTGAGAATTCTAGGTGTGACTTTTGAGAATTCTAGGTAGGGATGGGCATTTGGCCTGGACGGGTCGGGTTACCCGACCCGACCCGCCTAAAATGGCGGGTCGGGTCAGGAATGCTGAGAATGTCGACCCGTCCGGGTCGGGTCGGGTTTACCCGGGCGGGTCGGGTCGACCCGTGACCCGTCAATGTGACTTACAGACGGGTATCAGCGACCCGCCGGGTCGGGTTGACCCGTCCCGTCCGGGTCGCATACCCAGTCAAATGACAGGGTTACCCGGCCCGTTCTCTGCTTAGGGTACAATTTGGAGAGGGGGAGAACATCAGTTGGTTTTGATGTTTTGTTTTCCTCGACATTCAGATCCAGTCTCTAATCAAGTTAGTAAATCTCCACTGCACCTACCAAAACTCTTACAGTCTTCACTTCAATGTTAGCACTATTTTAATATTTATATTCATTATAGGCATAGGCGCTCCTGCCATTACGCAGTGTCGCACGACCAGGGGCACAGCAGCGCACTCGCGGCCACGCATTGGCGGGATCGCGGCCACGCATTGGCAGGATCGTGTCCCCGCAATAGCGCGATCTCGGCCCCGCATTTGCGCAGCGCGATCGCGGCCCCGCATATGCGCGATCGCGGCACCACATTAGGGCAGCGCGATCGCGGCCACGCATTGGCGGGATCGCATCCCCGCAATAGCGCGATAGCGGCCTTGCAGTAGCGCGAACGCCACCAGCCAGAATCGCGGTCTCCACCTCCAGCATCGCGAACGCCACCTGGAGCAGCGCCAAGGCGCCGCCATACCCTGCTGCTATGTAGCATGTTTTGATCCGACCCGACCCGACCCGTGGTGTAACCGACCCGGTTACGGGTCACAAATACCCGTTCCAACGGGGCGGGTCGGGTCACCAAAACAGAGTCAAACCCGACCCGCTAACCCGACCCGACCCGACCCGTTAAGCTAACGGGTCGCCCTAAACGGGACGGGTCGGGCCGGGTCGGGCCAGATGCCCATGCCTAATTCTAGGTGTGACTTTTGAGAATCCTAGGTGTGACTTTTGAGAATTCTAGGTGTGACTTTTGAGAATTCTAGGTGTGACTTTTGAGAATTCTAGGTGTGACTTTTGAGAATTCTATAAAGTCACACCAACACAGCTGGGTCTCCCCCACTCCACCATCTCGCCCGTGTTGGATCCTTGCCGACCCAACAGCAACCCTCACTCACTCCATTCCATTCCTATTGAGTCGACTCATGAGTAATACCAGCCATGCTCACCTTAGCCACGTAGCTATCAGTGATGAGTATGTTGGGTGCCTGCACGTCTCGGTGCAGCACCTGCGGTCGCTGCAAGTGCAGGTACCTCAACCCCCTTGTTGATCCAACGGCAAGCCATACCTTGGGAACATCTCATCTCAGATACCAGCCATGCTCACCTTGACCACGTAGCTGTCAGTGATGAGAATGTTGGGTGCTTTCACGTCTCAGTGCAGCACCTGTGGTCTCTGCGAGTGCAGGTACCTCGACTCAAGCCCCTCGCTGGTCCATCTAAAACCTTAAAACCCGTCACCCACCTTAGCCACGTAGCTATCAGTGATGAGTATGTTGGGTGCCTTCACGTCTCGGTGCAGCACCTGTGGGCGCTGCGAGTGCAGGTACCTCAACCCGCGTGCTGATCCAACGGCAATCTTCAGCCGCTTCTCCCACGACAAGGGGCCGTTCTGCCTGACCTTTTTGCCTGGTGGAGAGAAAGGAAACAAAGAGAAGGGGGGAGGAGGGGGAGGGGGGAGGGGGAGGGGGAGGGGGAGGGGGAGGGGAGGATTTTCTTTGTCTCCCACATGTCCCAGTGGTTGGCGGTTGTCTTCAGCTGCCTCTCCCACGACAAGCGGCTGTTCTGCCTGACCTTGTGGCCTAGCATTGAGAAAGTAAAAAACGGGGACGGACGGAGAAGAGAAACCATTTTATTTTCCATATTGTCACAGCCGCCGCTACCTTCAGCCGCTCTCGCACGGCAAACAAGGGCCCGATCTACCTGACCTTGTGGCCTAGCGGTGAGAAAGTAAAAAACGGGGACGGACGGAGAAGAGAAACCATATTACTTTCCATATTGTCACAGCCGTCGCTACCTTCAGCCGCTCTCGCACGGCAAACAAGGGCCCGATCTACCTGACCTTGTGGCCTAGCGGTGAGAAAGTAAAAAACGGGGACGGACGGAGAAGAGAAACCATATTACTTTCCATATTGTCACAGCCGCCGCTACCTTCAGCCGCTCTCGCACGGCAAACAAGGGCCCGATCTCCCTGACCTTGTGGCCTAGCGGTGAGAAAGTAAAAAGGGGGAGAATGGATTATAACACAGAAATGAAACCGCATTATTTTCCACATTTTCACTAGGGGTGAGCAAAAAACCGAACAGGTTGGTTTTTTTGGCTTAAAGTGTTCGCCGAACAGTGTTCGAGGTTCGCCCGAAAACGTTCGTGTTCGGGCCTCTGCTGCAATTTGCCCCGCGACGAACACGAACGTGTTCGAGGTTCGCCCGAACACGCCTTCACAGGCGAACGGCAAACACCTGTTTTTGCTCAAGGCGTTCGACGAACCGAACAGTGTTCGGTTCGGCAAACGGCTGTGTTTGTGTAGGGGCGAACACGAACGTGTTCGTGTTCGCCCCTTGCTCACCCCTAATTGTCACAGCCTGTCTACCTTCAGCCGCTCTCGCACGACAAGCGTCCGTTCTACATTTTTGAGGCGCCTCAAAATGCACCTCACTACACGCGGGTCACAGCCGCCCCGCCGCTACCTTCAGCCGCTCTCCCACGACAAGCGTCCGTTCTACCTGACCTTGCGGCCTGTTGGTTGGGAGAGTTAGAGCGGAAGTAAAAAACATACCCTGATTGAGAAGGGAGAGAAAGATGAAGAACAAAAGAGAATTGGGGAGGAGTGAATGTATGATGCCCCAAAACAGAAGCCTATCTATAAGTGAACAGCAGCAGAGAGCACAAAGGCACAGCCACACAGCACAGAAGGATGGTACGACAGCAACACAGCAGTGCAGTACAGCAGTATTAGCACAGCAGCATTTGAGTCGACTCAAAAGCAGACTCATTACACGCGGTTTCTACATTGAAAAGTTATTTGTTGCATGACAGGTTGGGAAGAGTGTACAGAGAACACTTGTTCGAGCGAGGCTTCCAAGGACTCGCCCCCGAATTTCTCCCGCAGCAACACAGCAGTACAGTACAGCAGTATTAGCACAGCAGCATACCAAGCAGAGCAGACAAGACAAGACATATTACCATACAATAAGACAGCGAGTGCTCCCTTTGGCCAGAAACCCGTACACCGGAGCGCAGCAAATCATCACGAAACAAAGCAAGCAGGCTGTGAAACACCATACCGTGCAAGTGGTCGGCGAGACTCCTAAGGAACTCGTACATTAGCAACCAAGCAAGATAGCAGCACGTCAACACAGAAGCAGAGCGGCATGGGAGCAGAACAAGCAGCCCAGCAGCACAGCAAGCACACCACACCCCGTGCAAGTGGTCGGCGAGACTCCTTTTGGGCAGGAACTCGTACACTAGCTAGCAGCCGTTGATTGCGCCGGTCTTCATGTCTAGCATGGATTCACACAGCAGCACCATATTACCAGCCAGCTTGCTAGCAAAGCAACAAGTCCAGAAGAGACAACACACTGTACCGTGCAAGTGGTCGGCGAGGCTCCCATTGGGCAGGAACTCGTAGACTAGCAGCCGTTGATTCTTCCGCATGCAGTACCCCATCAGCTTCACCTGCAGGGAGGGGAATGGAAAGCGACAAAGGGAAGAGACAAGGTGGAAATTGGAATCTGTTAACATTGTCAAGCCAGCTGCACTGCACGGCTACGGTGCACTAACAGCTGTTCATTCTTCTGCATGCAGTAACCCGTCAGCTTCACCTGCATGAAGGGGAAGGGCGAGGAAGGGAAAAAATAAAAGGTGTTACAGAAAGCTGTACTTCGAGTGGACTCAGAATGCAACTGCTGCTGCACCCCACTGCGAGCAGTAACCCATCAGCTTCACCTGCAAGGGGGAGGAAGGGGAAGGCAAAAGGCACAGGGTATCGACGCCCTCTAGTCTAGCCCTGTAACAAACTCCTCATCGCCCTGCTCCGCCTCATCCTGCCTGCTCCCCTCCACGCTATCCAGCTACCCCTATCGCACCTTCTCCCCACCACCAAACATTGGAGCGACTTTTGAGAATTCTCAAAATCCGCTCCAACAATACTCCGCCTCATCCTGCTCCCCTCCACGCTATCAAGCTACCCCTATCGTACCTTCTCCCCAACATGTATAAAGATTTGTTTTGAGACGTCTCAAAACAAATCTTCATACATGTCCCTCCACGATATCCAGCTACCCCTATCGCACCTTCTCCCCGACACCAACCCTCACCTTAATTCTCCCTCCCTCTATCCCTGCTTACCAGGTGTTTGTGCTCCAGGCGACTCAGCAGCTCCAGCTCTGTCACAAACTCCTCGTCGCCCTGCTCCCCATTACCCTGCTGCTCCCCTCCCTTCTATCCTGCTAACACCCACTCCTTCTCCCTCTCCCTTCCCACTCACCAGGTGTTTGTGCTCTAGCCGACTCAGCAGCTCTAGCTCTGTCACAACTCCTTGTCGCCCTGCTCCCCTCCCTCACTTTACTCTCAAACCCCTATCTATTCCGCATACACCAATCCTTTCAGCACCAGCCTCTCCCACTCACCAGGTGTTTGTGCTCTAGCCGACTCAGCAGCTCCAGTTCAGTCACAAACTCTTCGTCTCCCTGCTCCCCTCCCTCATCTGTGCACCAACCCCTCCCTATCTATTCCGCATACACCAATCCTTCCAGCACCAGCCTCTCCCACTCACCAGGTGTTTGTGCTCTAGCCGACTCAGCAGCTCCAGTTCAGTCACAAACTCTTCGTCTCCCTGCTCCCCTCCCTCATCTGTGCACCAACCCCTCCCTATCTATTCCGCATACACCAACCCTTCCAGCACCAGCGTCTCCCACTCACCAGGTGTTTGTGCTCTAGCCGACTCAGCAGCTCCAGTTCAGTCACAAACTCTTCGTCTCCCTGCTCCCCTCCCTCATCTGTGCACCAACCCCTCCCTATCTATCCTGCATACACCAATCCTTCCAGCACCAGCCTCTCCCACTCACCAGGTGTTTGTGCTCTAGCCGACTCAGCAGCTCCAGTTCAGTCACAAACTCTCCGTCTCCCTGCTCCCCTCCCTCATCTGTGCACCAACCCCTCCCTATCTATTCCGCATACACCAATCCTTCCAGCACCAGCCTCTCCCACTCACCAGGTGTTTGTGCTCTAGCCGACTCAGCAGCTCCAGTTCAGTCACAAACTCTCCGTCTCCCTGCTCCCCTCCCTCATCTGTGCACTAACCCCTCCCTATCTATCCTGCATACACCAATCCTTCCAGCACCAGCCTCTCCCACTCACCAGGTGTTTGTGCTCTAGCCGACTCAGCAGCTCCAGTTCAGTCACAAACTCTTCGTCTCCCTGCTCCCCTCCCTCATCTGTGCACCAACCCCTCCCTATCTATTCCGCATACACCAACCCTTCCAGCACCAGCGTCTCCCACTCACCAGGTGTTTGTGCTCTAGCCGACTCAGCAGCTCCAGTTCAGTCACAAACTCTTCGTCTCCCTGCTCCCCTCCCTCATCTGTGCACCAACCCCTCCCTATCTATTCCGCATACACCAATCCTTCCAGCACCAGCGTCTCCCACTCACCAGGTGTTTGTGCTCTAGCCGACTCAGCAGCTCCAGTTCAGTCACAAACTCTTCGTCTCCCTGCTCCCCTCCCTCATCTGTGCACCAACCCCTCCCTATCTATCCTGCATACACCAATCCTTCCAGCACCAGCCTCTCCCACTCACCAGGTGTTTGTGCTCTAGCCGACTCAGCAGCTCCAGTTCAGTCACAAACTCTCCGTCTCCCTGCTCCCCTCCCTCATCTGTGCACCAACCCCTCCCTATCTATTCCGCATACACCAATCCTTCCAGCACCAGCCTCTCCCACTCACCAGGTGTTTGTGCTCTAGCCGACTCAGCAGCTCCAGTTCAGTCACAAACTCTCCGTCTCCCTGCTCCCCTCCCTCATCTGTGCACTAACCCCTCCCTATCTATCCTGCATACACCAATCCTTCCAGCACCAGCCTCTCCCACTCACCAGGTGTTTGTGCTCTAGCCGACTCAGCAGCTCCAGTTCAGTCACAAACTCTTCGTCTCCCTGCTCCCCTCCCTCATCTGTGCACCAACCCCTCCCTATCTATTCCGCATACACCAACCCTTCCAGCACCAGCGTCTCCCACTCACCAGGTGTTTGTGCTCTAGCCGACTCAGCAGCTCCAGTTCAGTCACAAACTCTTCGACTCCCTGCTCCCCTCCCTCATCTGTGCACCAACCCCTCCCTATCTATCCTGCATACACCAATCCTTCCAGCACCAGCCTCTCCCAATCACCAGGTGTTTGTGCTCCAGTCGACTCAGCAGCTCCAGTTCAGTCACAAACTCTTCGTCTCCCTGCTCCCCTCCCTCATCTGTGCACCAACCCCTCCCTATCTATTCCGCATACACCAATCCTTCCAGCACCAGCTAGGGATGAGCAAAGGGCGAACACGAACATGTTCGTCTTCGCCCCTTGTCGAACACCCTCTTTTGCCGAACCGAACACTGTTCGGTTCGGCGAACAGTTTAGGAAAAAACAGGTGTTCGCTGTTCGCCTGTGGAGGCGTGTTCGGGCGAACCTCGAACACTGTTCGTGTTCGTCGCGGGCAAATTTCAGCAGCGGCCCGAACACGAACGTGTTCGGGCGAACATCGAACACTGTTCGGCGAACGATTTGAGCTAAAAAACAAAATCTGTTCGGTTCGCCTCGAACGTGTTCGAGGCGAACCGAACAGGTGTTCGCCACCTTGCTCATCCCTAGCACCAGCCTCTCCCACTCACCAGGTGTTTGTGCTCCAGTCGACTCAGCAGCTCCAGTTCAGTCACAAACTCTTCGTCTCCCTGCTCCCCTCCTCCTTGCTTCAGCACCTTCACTGCCACCACCTGATGGATGGTGGGAGGGAGGGGGATTTCGTAGGGCGAAGTATTGAAGATAAGGCTATTGCATGCATGATACATACAAGCAACGGTTTAGAAACAAACTCCTCATTTCCCTGCTCCCCTCCTCCTTGCTTCAGCACCTTCACTGCCACCACCTGATGGTGAGAGGGAAAGCGATTTGCGATGTAGAGGGCAAAATACATAATATAAACAAGAGGCCTACACACACGCAAGGGTCTAGAAACAAACTCCTCGTCTCCCTGCTCCCCTCCTCCCTGCTTCAGCACCTTCACTGCGACCACCTGATGGATGGTGAGAGGGAAAGGGGTTTCACAGGGCAGAGTATTGAAGATAAGGCTAATGCATGCGTGATACATACAAGCAACGGTTTAGAAACAAACTCCTCATCCCCCTGCTCCCCTCCTCCCTGCTTCAGCACCTTCACTGCCACCACCTGATGGTAAGAGGAGTGGCACTTGCAGTACAAGGAATTAATATTATACAGGGTTAAGGGTTTCGGGTTTAGGATCCCTACACACATACACGAGTCTAGAGACACACCCCTCATCTCCCTGCTCCCCTCCTCTTTGCTTCAGCACCTTCACTGCCACCACCTGATGGTGAGAGGGAAGGAGGGCGATTTGCGGTATAGAGGGCATCAATACACGGGGTGTATTGTTCAAGGTTTAGGGTCAATACACGGGGTGTATTGTTCAAGGTTTAGGGTCCCTACTCATACACACACAGGTCTAGAGACAAAATCCTCGTCACCCTGCTCCCCTCCTCCTTGCTTCAGCACTGGCAGCATACCATAATACACCTTTCCGAACCCGCCCTGACCCAACATGTGGGAAACGGGGAAGGTTGCAGAGTGTCCAAACTTGCATGCACTGGCGTGCTGCCAGTGCATCTAAAACTCAGTACCCAACATGTATCTGAATTTTCACCTGAGCAGGATGCACTAGCAGCACTGGCAGCACGCCATAATACACCTTCCCGAACCCGCCCTGCCTGCCCCACAGCACCATGATACTGTATCATGAAACATCTAATCTCTCACCTGAGCAGTATAATATCCGCAAGCATTTGAATTCTCACCTTAGCGGGGTGCACGGGCAGCACGCCATAGTACATCTTGTCGAATCCGACCTACCTGCCTCATAGCAGCACATTACATTAACCTGAAGTATCTGCATTATCTCCTGAACGGTGCAGCATTTCTGACCTGAGCGGGGTGCACGGGCAGCACGCCGTAATACACCTTCCCGAATCCGCCCTGCCCCAACACGTTGGCCTCGTTAAAATTCTCGGTCGCCAGCTGGCAACGGGGGATTGGACGAGGGGTTGGAAGCGGGAGAACGGAAAGGACTGTGAGCTGCAATAGAAATAACTAACTTGTGAAAAAAAAACACCAAGATTGTGTGTGTGCGTGCATGCGTGCGTGCATGTGTGCATGGCACATCCAATCCAATCCAGTAACTGATCATGCTATAAGCTCATTCGAAAAACACACCTGCAGCTCCGAGTACTGATAGTGCGTTCTCTTGGGTGCTGGCAAATCGCCAAACTCTGCTGCAATAGACGATGTTCTGAGGGGAATGAGAGGGTTGGGGCGAAGGGGGACGTTGGTTGGAGGGAAAGAGGGGGCTTGGGTTTCGAGTATGAGGGACTCTCTAGGTTGCTGGTAAATCGCCAAACTCTGCTGCTATAGACGATGTTCTGGGGAGAATGAGGGGGTTGGGGGAAAGGGGAGAGTTTGAGGGCAGGAGAGGGTTGGGGGGAAGGAGGAAGATTGGAGGGAAAAATGAAGATTGGATCTTGAGTATGGAGATTGGGTATGGACTCTCGTGGGTGCTGGTAAATTGCCAAACTCTGCTTCAATAGACGATGTTCTGACGGAGGGGAACAAAGGGGGGGGGTCGGGTGGAATTTAGGGGGAAAAAGAGCGAACCATTGTATTGAAATGGTATTAATGGTGAATTATTATTAGGGTAATAATGCACGAAATTTATTCCTATCATTTACGCGTAGTCATTTACACGTACAGGCTCACCACAAATAAATTCCTGCACAGCACACACACACGATTGCACATGCACATGGCCCACGCCCACCCACCCACATGCATGATCAGGTGGAAGAAAGAGGCTCGGCAGTGAGAAAAGAACCAAACAAAACAGAACAATTCACATCTGCCGAGTGGGGTTGCCACTGGAAGGCCTGTCTTCTCCGCTCTTGGCTGGCTTGCCCGCTGATGATGATGCCCCACTGCTGCCGCCACTGCCCGCACTGGCAGGAGGAGCGTTGAGTGTGGATGCTGAGACGAAATCACACGCACCTGGCGAGTGAACGAATACTGAGAAGAGAGCACACACACACACCTGGCGAGTGGGTTGCCACTGGACGGCCTGTCTGCTCCGCTCTTGGCTGGCTTGGGTGGCTTCTTTCCTTCCTGCGCCGGCCGTTTCCCCCCTGAGGATGCCCCCCCACTGCCGCCAATCCCAGGTGCGTTGGGGGTGAACGAATACTGAGAAGAGAGCACACACACACACGCACCTGGCGAGTGGGTTGCCACTGGACGGCCTGTCTGATCCACTCTTGGCTGGCTTGGGTGGCTTCTTCCCTTCCTGCGCCGGCCTCTTGCTCCCTCCTGTTGCTCCACTTCCCGCACTCCCAGGTGCGTTGGGTGTGGATGCTGGCGAGCAAGCAGGGCAGGGCAGGGCAGGGCAGGGCAGGGCAGGGCAGGGCAGGGTAGGGAAGGGTAGGGTAGGGTTGTAAAGGCGGACAGGGAGTGGAAAGAGAGCTGAGGAGAGGAGAGGTTAAACATCAAGAGAACGTGAGGCAGCTTGTTGGGAAAGAGAGCAGCAACACTCACATGACTTCTTAAGGAGAGTGGAGAGGCGAGCAAACTGCTGCCCCACCTCCCCAGCGTGGCTGCTGATCCGCTTCTTGATCACATTGTGCAGCGACAGACAGGTTGGGAGAGGAGGCAGTTTCTTGGAAGGGTGGAGTGGAGAAGAGCTTACATGACTTCTTGAGGAGAGTGGAGAGCCGGGCGAATTGCTGCCCCACCTCCCCGGCGTGGCTGCTGATCCGCTTCTTGATCACATTGTGCAGCGACAGGTTGCGATCGAACGATGCCTCCTCCACCTGTGCAACCGGCTTTGGTGACGGAAGGCTCAGATTCCGCTCCAGACACAACATCTCCTCGCCCGCTCCCCCTAGCTCTCCCTCTCTGTCCCTTTCTCCCTCTCTTGCTCCCTCTCTTGCTCCGTCTCTCTCTCCCTCTCTCTCTCCTGCTGCATGAGAGGTGCAGGGGGGAGGGGCGTTTACTGTGTCTGCAGAGAGAGCGCGGGGGAGCCGTGGCTGGGGTGGTTTTCTGGAGAGGGAGGATGCAGGTGGGAGTGGTGCTGCTGCTGGGAGTGGTGGAAGTGGGAATGATGGAGGAGGTGGTGAGACTGCTGCATAGAGGTCACCAGTGTGAGCAGCAGCACCAGCAGCACCACTGCCACTACCACCAGCACCAGCACCAACACCAACACCAGCACCAGGTGCAGAAGCAGCAGCAGGGGCCTTGCCGACACCAACAGCAGCAGCTGTAGCAGCAGCTGTAGCAGAAGCAGCGGAGCCTGCTACAAGGGGAGCAGCAGCAGCCATCCCATCGTTTCCATACAGATCCGCCAACCCTCCTCCTTGGAATCCTCTACGCCGTCCTCCATACAAATCACCAGCACTCCCACCACCACCACCACCACCACCACGACCACCACCAACCCCACCATCACCCGCACCACCACCAGCACTGCCACCAGCTGTGGCAGCTATATCCTGCTCTTCATCCCCTGTGTCTCCCACACCACCGACACCTACCACTCCCACTCCTACTCCCACCCCTCCCACTTCCACCACTCCCCCGGGACTCCCCCACGAGCCTCCAGAAGGGCTTGCCTCGGGAACTGAGCTGCTCCTCCCAATCAACCTCCCACCCGCACCAGGTATACCCGCCCCTGATGCACTTGCATCAGATAACCCTACCCCAGGACCCCCCGCACCAGTTGTGCCTCCCTGTCTCCCTCCCTCCACCAACCCGCCTAGCCCCTCCTCGTCTGCATCCAGCCCGAATTGCTCTGCCAGCTGTGCAAACTCCCTTTGCTCCCAACTTCCATGCCTTAGAATCGATGCGGCAGATGTCCCTCGGGGTCTTGATGGGACCGATCCTGATGAGATCAACGGTCCAGATCGTGCAGAGGGAACGCTAGACGAGGTTGAGGAATCTCCTGGTGTTGCTCCTGAAAGAGGGCTCTTCCAATTTCCGGTCGGAGGTTTCTTTTTCGCCTGCCCGCTGCCCTGCAGAACATCTAGAGCCGAAGGGGGAACCGACATCAAAAAGTCCTCCGCGTCCGAACCACCCTCCGAACCAGACCCCTCTAAGGCGTCTCCCAAGCCTCCCGTTCCCGAACCTGCCCCAGAGACTAACCCGCCTAGGCCTGTTCCGAACCCTATGCTGCTGCCGAACCTGGCGTGACCTGCCCGCTGGGTTCGGTTGTGGTACGACGACGAAGCTGGCCTGCTTCGGACTCCACTGCTGCTGGCAAGCCTGCGAGAGGAAGATCTAGGTCTAGAACCCCCCATAAACCCTAACCCTAATCCTGACCCAGCACCTGCTGCTGCAGCAGATTCCGTCACTCCCTCTGCCTCATCTTCCCCCACTGCAGATCCTCCCATCCATTCCTCTCCCTTCCCACCTGCTCCTTCTCCCGCCCCTTGCAACCTCTGCTTTTCCTGAAGCTCCAGTAGCAGTGTCTGCAGCTCTCGTCTGTCTGTCTGACCTGCTTTGAACCTGGCAGCCCAGTCCCTTAACCGCGAATCATTCAACCCTAGCTGAAGCAGGTCCTCGACAAAATGACTGTCACTGACAATGCCGGCTCCTGAGCCTGCTGCCGAGCCTCCGGATTTCGCAGGCTTGGCCGAGGCTGAGTGTGCCTTGCGGATGGAAGAGGGTCGGGAGGAGATGTGGCTCGGTGGCAGCAGGGCGGATGGACCAATCAGATCCTCCTGCATTGGTTCCTGCAAAAAGATTTCCTGCCCGTCCTGCCTGACCTGCCCGATCTGCCCGATCTGCCCGTCCTCCCCATCTTCAAATCCCATCATCTGGGCGGCTATTCTTGTCAGATGATCGCTGCTGATTCCCTCATCCTCTTCCTCCCCAGCACCAGACAACCCCCCACCACGTTTCTCCCCTGCGCTTCCCAGTACCTTCCCTCGCCTCCTCTCCCTGCCTCCTGCCTCCCCTGCTGTTGCACTGTGCTGGATCCGACGGGGACCACCAGAGGAATGAGAGACAGCAGAGGCGGAGGAAGAGTGAGCAGCAGCTGAGGCATCGTATCCCTGCTGCTGCTGCTGCTGCTGCTGCTGCTGCTTCTGCCAACTTGTTGATTTTGTCCGCATTCCCATGTCTTCTTCAGAATCCCCTTCCGATTCATCCTCCTCCTCTCTCCCAGCTGACGTGTCACATTCCCATTCGCCACCAACCCCACCCTGCCGTCCTCGCACACCTCCACCCCTGCTCCTCCCTGGTCGCACCGACGAATCACACGTCGCCATGCGCAAATACTGTTCATCCCCCCCTTCATTATAATCACCCCCTCCTCCCATCACATTCGCCTCTTTCCCAACCCCCGACCTAACCCCATCTCTCGCCCTCCCCCTCACCCCCTCCCTCTCCGCCTCTCGTCGCGCCTCTGCTCCTTTCTCCCTCCGCCTCATCCTTTCCACCCCAAGCGACCCCGTAGGCGGTCTATCCAGCAGCTCATGCGCTCGATCTACATTATTCCAGGGTAAACCACCCGATTGCGCCCTCTCAGTCGCGGTTTCCGTCACAGATCTGTCGAAATCTCCAAGGTAAATCCCCCTTTCGAGGTCGCGCTGTCTCACCCGCTCCGCCTCCTTCCCTCTCTCTCGCTCCGTCGCCATTTTTCTATACACCCTCCCTTGAACCATATCCGCACCTATCCGTGCATGACCCATGTCTGCTTCCGCCATACCGCTTCTAGCCCTACCCAACTCCTTGACCCTCCCCGTGTGGTTCTTAACTTCCCCCATCACCATACCCGCCGCCAAGCTCCCCCCCGCGCGCTCCCCGTTTCCGCGCGCCATATTCCCCTCCCCCACGGCCGGGGAGATGCTGCGGGACCGCCGAGGCGGAGCAGCATTCCCTCCTCGTTCTACTCCTATAGGTGGCGCATGATCGTAATACCGCTCCTCTCCGGCGTGATTCGTTGCCGCATTTGCGAATTGCGGGGCCCCGTAAAGGTCGTGTATTGCCTCCGGGGATTGCGCGGATCGTTCCGCCGATCGGTGGGGTCCGCTGCTCTTCCGCATTCTCTCAGCATTCCCTCTTGAGGCGCCTCAGAAGCACTCTTCGCCTCCTTCTAACTTTTCTTCCGCTCGACTAGTGAATCTTAATCTCCAAAAACAATGGCGAGAAATTCTCAGAAGCGAATCGCAACGCCGAATGCCTTCCCCTCCTCCTTTCCGCTTATCTACCGAAGCCCTCAGAACCGAAATGAACCGTAATGAAACGCCTATGCTAGTCGTCCGCAGATTACCCTTACTGTGTGTATAAGCCTTTCTGAAATGCCAATTCAATAAGGTCTAGACAATTTCCGGAGGACTGTGGCTCGCTGCGTAGTAAAATTGTGGTGCTTGACCTTTTGCCTCTCGCGCCATAGAGTGCGAGCTACGAACGCTCAATGCAAACGCGCGAGCATGTGCTCGCAGGAGATTACCAGTTGTACTCGTAAGAAAAGTACGGCAGATGAGCAGAAATGGGAAAATAAACCATAGATGGGAGGAGCAACAGAAGTAGAGCAGAAAGATGATGGGCTTGGCTTGGCTTGGCTTGGTCATTTCAATCAGCAGACCGATGTTCAATCGCCGACAGAATCACATTAGTCAAGGGGTTGGTCACGGCTCTGTAGGGTGAAAATTAAACTGGCTTGGGTGCATTACGGTGGCGAGTTGTTGATAATGGGCCGTAAAACCTCGAGATGCCAACTTGGCACTGCACCCCAATTATGATAGGCCTGGACTGGAAGAACCAGTTTTCAAGACCCGCTCATAGACAAAGAGGAGTTCCCAAGAACAAAGTATTGCAGAAGGTCCTGTCTCGGGTGTTCGCTTTCAACTTACTCTAGGGCGCATTCGAAGATCCGCTAGGTGGTTTCAAGCCAGTCAGATGTCAGAGATGCGTACGACCAGAAGTCGCCTCGGAATGCTCAAGGCTGACCCTAAGAAGATTTGATCAGAGGTTTGGCCCGAGCCTCGAATACGCCCTGCACTAATACACTTGATGTGTTCCAATTTCAATGAGTGAATAACGTAAACTCGGTCAAAATCGGTCCAGTACGGTGCTACTATGATCCATCCCCATTGTGTTGATTCTATTCCAGCGCAACACTAGCTTTACCAGACATTTCTGTCTGTCTGTAAGGAAATTCCCTTTTCCTTACTTCGCGTCCCTGCCCAGCGCGTACGTCACTGTAGCACCTCAGTCAGCACCGTTACCACTCGCGACCATCGCATCATTCATCATCCCGCCCTTTTTCGCACATCGCATCCCGACCTCACGGCTCGGCTGGTAACCCGCGCTCCGGGCCTACGCTTCGACACTTTCCCAACCTCAGTCCCAGGCTCGACGCGCGACAACCACAGTCCATTACCGTTACCACTATTGTTTTCGCTATATAATCCTTCGCTCATGCCTTCGCTCATTGTACTTTTGCTTCGATAGTGCAATTCTCGTTCGTTCACTCAATTGCACTCGTAACACTTGGTATTCATAGCCTACGATCTCATCTCGGACCGCATCCACACCTTCGCTTCCCACTATCTCAATTTTTGGGGGGGGTAGACGTCTCTCAGCGACACAGCACCACCGCTCGTAGTGCTCTCTCGCAAGCACGCACGGCCACGACCGAGGCTCTCGCTGAGCTTGCCCGACACCCCCGCCATGGCCGACCTCAATCTCGCCACGTTGACACAGGAGCAACTCGATCGTCTCGTGCGACAATTGGAGGATTCGGCGCTTGAAATCGCGACGCTCACGGCGGAACGTGACTCCGCCCGTCAACAGTCAACGGTGAATGCTCCGACAACATCCCACGCACCAACCAATGTCTCTGTACATTCGGAGGAGCCGATTCTCATTTCATCCGGCACACCAACGCAACACAACAGCACGGGACAGCGCTCAGGCGCAGCCAGTGACGGCGCAGCCCAACCGATGCCCGGCATGGGAGGGAACAGGAGCACGCTAAGCCCACGGGAGCCCCGAGAAGCCCGTCGGCACGTGGAGTTTGCGACGACAAGTGGTGAAAACGCCATGATGGCCCCAATGCCACTCAAGCCGCAACGCCCGCCCTGCTTCGACCCAAGCCAACGCGGCGGCCCGACAGTTCAATCGTGGGTCTTCACGATGAATGTGTTTTTCGACGCCAACTACGTCGAGTCGGACGCCGCCAAGATTCGGTATGCGGTTTCACTACTCAGGGGCCCCGCCATGGACTGGTGGCGAGTCATCGTGACGTCGCCACGCGCCTACGAGCCACCGTCGCACGAGGAAGGGCCCTCGGGTCCAGCTGTCACCTGGAGTTCGTTCTGCGAAACAGCCCAATACAGCACGTGGGATGCGTGGTGCGCAGGGCTTCAGGCGCGTTTTGAGCCGATCGCGGCTTCGATTTCGGCGCGTCAGAAACTGCGCACTTGGCGCCAGCTCGGGTCGGTTCAAGACTACACCAGCGGTTTTCTCGCACTTTGCGAACAGGTCGGCTACATGCACGAGGCGGAGCGGGTGGACCGTTACGTCGGAGGGCTGAAGCCGGACATATCGCACGAGATAATGCTACGCGGGCTATCAAATTTCAACGAAATCCTCGCGCTCGCCGAGAAAATCGATATCCTACGCCGACCGAGACCGGGGTCCTATTTCGGACATCGCCCTCGGGGACCGATCGAGCACGCCACTGTACATGCCGTCGCAACGAATGCAGCTGCCACGCCATTTAGAGGGCGCTGCTTTGCTTGCAACCGGCCGGGCCATCGCAAGAGCGAATGTCCAGAGGAGCTGAGGCGTCGAGGAGCAGAGCAGGGGAAGGAGTCTCAGAGGCAGGGAAACGCCAGCAGTCAGTAGAAGTTGGGCCAACTACTGACGAGACTGCCTGCTCGCCCAACCACACCGACCCTCACCGAGTCACAGTACCGATTCACGCCATCGATCGGGCTCGGATGAATAAGGAGGGTACAGCGACGGATTGCCCGGTACTGATCTACGGGAAAATACAGGGAGCAGCAGTGAAAATCTTCATTGACGGAGGAGCAAGTCACAGCTTAGTTCATACTGCAACCGCACGGAAATTACAGTTAACACTTACCCGATGTTTACCTGAGATAGATGCACGCTTAGTCGACGGCACGCCTTTGGCCATACGAGAAAAAGTGGAGCGAGTAAAAGTCCGCTGCGGGGGAAACTTCGGGTTTACACAGGAAATGCTCGCAACGACGCTGGATGGGCACGACATTTTACTAGGACGTGATTGGCTGCGACGGTACAACCCACGGATCGACTGGACGACGGGGAGCTGCACAGTGCGAAGTAGCGGTAACTGGGTCGTCCTACCTCGCTGGCGGCCACCCGAATCTTCGACAGTCCAGGTCAACGCCATCGCGATGAAACGGGCTGTCGCTGCTGGAGCTGACGTGTACGCAGTGGATATCGCAGTGGTAGAAAAAAACGAGCAGCAGAATGATTTACAGAAACTGCTAGCAGCCGTACCGACCGAATTACAGGTACTACTGAAACGGTTCCCGGGGATATTTCCGGATGATTTACCACAGGGACTGCCACCTCAGCGAGCGCACGACCATAGGATCGAGTTAGAACCGGGGGCACAGCCAACAGTACAGCGGCAATTTCGACTGACACAGCCCGAGCTCGACGAGTTAAGGAAGCAGTTAGATTACATGTTAGAGAAGCAGTTTATTCGACCGAGCTCGTCACCGTTCGCCGCACCCATACTGTTCACACCGAAAAAAGACGGAGGTCTTCGCATGTGCACCGACTACCGAGCGCTTAACCGAGTAACAGTCAAATCGCGATACCCCATCCCCCGCGCCGACGAACTGAAGCAGATCTTGAAGCAGTTTTTAAGGTTTTAGAGGAACATCGGCTGCTCACCAAGGGCTCCAAGTGCGAGTTTTTTAGGGATAGGCTAGAGTTTTTAGGTCACGTCATTTCAGAGGCTGGGGTTGAGATTGACCCAAAGAAGCTGGACACGGTAAAAGCGTGGCGCCCCCCGACGAACATCACGGAACTGCAGAGTTTTTTAGGGTTTGTTAATTACGTTCGACGGTTCGTGCCCGACATGGCACGTTTAACAGCCCCACTAACTGATTTACTGCGTAAGGGGGTCGCTTTTACGTGGGGGGAGAAAGAGCATGCTGCCTTCTCTGCCCTAAAAAACGTTCTCTGCTCACCACCCGTCCTACGCATCGCTGATCCCCACCGCCCTTTCGAAGTGGTTACCGACGCAAGTGACATCGCCATCGGAGCTGTACTGTTACAGGACTTCGGCAATGGCCTCCAACCCATCGCCTACGAATCACGAAAACTACATCCGCCTGAGCGAAATTACCCGATACACGACCGCGAAATGCTCGCGATCGTGCATGCATTCAAAGTTTGGCGCTGCTACTTGACTGGCGCAGACGTGACAGTACGGACAGACCACCGATCTCTACAGTACCTCCGCGCACAGCCCCACCTCAACCCACGACAGATTCGATGGCTCGATTTTCTCGAGTCGAATTTTCACTATACGGTCACATACAAAAAAGGAGCATCGAATATCGCCGACGCACTGACCCGCCCCACTGCCCAGATCCACGCGATACTACTCGCCCAGACCAGCCCACTGCTTACCGGCCTATTTACCCACGGATATCAAACAGACCCGTTCTTTACAGGAGGCAACTCACAGCAATTCGCAGCGGCAAAAGGAGTCTATTACGTAAAAACTGGAACCGACCGCATCTGGGTACCGGGATACACGTTACTGCGGGAACTACTATTACAGGAAGCACACGATGGAGTTACCTCGGGACATTTCGGGGTAGAAAAAACACGGCAGCAGCTGCAGCGGTACTACTACTGGCCAGAAATGTTGACTGATGTGCAACGACACGTGGCATCGTGTCCCACTTGCCAGCTCATGAAGACAAGCAGGAAGCGACCAGCGGGGCAATTACAACCCATCCCGCCTCCAGAGCGTGCTTGGCAGCAGGTGACGATGGACTTCGTCACGGGGTTACCAGCTGGGGCGAGTGGGAATGACGCGATCCTGGTCGTCGTCGATCGACTAACGAAAATGGCTCATTTCGCAGCATGCAGGAAATCCATCACAGCCGAAGAAACCGCCCGACTATTCATCTCCACCGTCGTACGCCTGCACGGGATACCCGCGTCGATCATCAGCGACAGGGACACGAAATTCACCAGCAACTTCTGGCGGAACCTGTGGCAGCAGTTCGGCACGCGTTTACAGTTCAGTTCATCCTATCACCCCGAAACCGACGGACAGACGGAACGGACAAATCAGACCATGGAGCAGCTGATTCGAGCCACGTGCGACGACCCGAATACGTGGGAACAGCAACTGCCACTCATCGAGTTCGCATACAATAACGCACCATCAGCCACGACGCAACAGTCGCCGTTTTATCTAAATTACGGACAGGACCCAACAGTACCCATGACACCGAATCCCGACAACCCCGTCCCACGAGCACAACAGTTCGCCGAGATTCTGCAAGCAGCACGGACCAGGGCAGCAGAAGCAATAAAAAAATCAAACATCATCGCTAAACGCAACGCCGATCGACATCGCAGACCCGTTACTTATCAGCCCGACGACCTCGTTTTACTCGACACTCAGAACCTTCGCCTGCCCATCACTCCAAAACTTCGCCCCCGATATTGTGGGCCATTTCGCATCAGCCACACGATCACACCCGTCACCGCCCACCTCCTCCTCCCTGCTGACTGGCACGTCAGCCCGTCATTCCACGTCAGCCTACTTCGCCCTTACATCCCATCCACGAGCCAACTGCCACGAAATCGCCCTGCCAGCATGACACGTCCCCCAACCGAACCACTCATCACCCCTGAAAAAATCCTCAGCCACCGAGTCCGCGACCCTCGGGGAGCCCGAAGGATCGAGTTCCTAATTCGCTGGAAGGACCGAACGCCCACAGAAGACAACTGGGTCCCCCTGGATAAAATTGAGAGCCACCCTGTCTTCACCGAGTATCTGCGAAGCCGAAATTTCCGCGACGTCCATGCGCTCTCGTAAGAGGGGCCCCCTTGGGGAGGGGGGTAGTGTAAGGAAATTCCCTTTTCCTTACTTCGCGTCCCTGCCCAGCGCGTACGTCACTGTAGCACCTCAGACAGCACCGTTACCACTCGCGACCATCGCATCATTCATCATCCCGCCCTTTTTCGCACATCGCATCCCGACCTCACGGCTCGGCTGGTAACCCGCGCTCCGGGCCTACGCTTCGACACTTTCCCAACCTCAGTCCCAGGCTCGACGCGCGACAACCACAGTCCATTACCGTTACCACTATTGTTTTCGCTATATAATCCTTCGCTCATGCCTTCGCTCATTGTACTTTTGCTTCGATAGTGCAATTCTCGTTCGTTCACTCAATTGCACTCGTAACACTGTCCCTACGACTTACTTGCTCTCCTAACATTTCACCCTTACCGCGTCCGTCCGTAACAAGCCTGATTTCCATTGCGAGTTATTTCACGACGTTACGTTAGTGTCCTCTTTCGCAACCTAGTGTCACGTTGCACACGGGTCTCTTTGTCACTTACATTAAAAGCGCAAGTGTAGATTCACGCTTTTTACCTTTCCGCCTAGAGCTTAGTCTCGATGCTCTGGAGGCAGGCCTAACAGCAACTTTTTGTTAAGCTTACATATTACATGCGAAAGTTATTGTAGAAGCTACCATGCCTAAGAACAAAAACAAGCAGAAGAAGAGAAAAGCCACCTTAGCGAGCCAAGGCACATCGACGGTCAGGCAACAAGACTCCGCAACAGGGACGAAATCTGGGCCGTTGGTACCGCATCCTCCCGCTAAGAGGGCCAAGGGCGAGGCCACAGGGTTTAGCCGCGGAGAGGGTTTCGGGTCCAAACGGAAGAGTGGTTTATCTGGTGAAGGTACATTACAATCAGGGCAAGCCGGAAAAGGCATACCGGGGGAAGGTACGCTACAATTAGGTCAAGCTGGTCGATCGGGTCAATCAGGTATACCTGGGGAAGGTACATCTGGTCAGGGAGACCCGATTGGCCAGAGTCTACGAGAGGTGGTTACAGGAGGAGGTGCAGAAGTTGCGGAAAACGACAGAAAGAAGGGGCGGCGTAGGAAAGGGAGAGCAGGTGCTGCGGGGAAGGGTGCTGGCGCAAATGCAGCAAGAAGTGGGGGTGTTCTTTCGCATGCTGCCAAAAGCGCAAGTGGGGGTGCTAGTTCGAAAGCGGGAGGATTAGGAGGAGTGGGAGGAGGAGCCAGCAGCAGCAAATCAAGAGTAGGAGGGAGGTTGGGAGGAGGAGGAGGAGGGGGCAGCAGCGGCAAGAAACTAAGCCTGCTAGACAAGGTGACTGTCGACAATGGTGTCTCGGAATGTTCGATTTCGCCCAGTTTATTGATTGGGTTCAGGGCTTGGGGTTTGGAGTCTGAAATTTTGGGGTAAGGGTTTTGGGCTGAGAGGTTTTTAGTGTTGGGGATGGAGGTTTGGGGCACGGATGAATAGGCGGTGTGTTGCTGTTGCAAGGGTGCCTTGGCAAAACGCCCCGAAACTGGATGAGCGAGTATGATATGTTGTTGCACGCAAGGTCGTTTCAGATCGCTCAGCAAGACGTGCAGATGGAGGCGAGGCTATGTGCATTGAATGCTGGCCCATGGGATACTTTCCTCCCTCCCACCAGACCACATCACGGATGCGAGTTCGTCTAACCAGAGAACGGTTTCCGCTCTGCTAACGAGATGCTCTACATTTCGGATGGAGACAAGATGACTGCCAAATACAGTCCTGCCTGCTTGTTTCCCCCTTCCCTCCCCTCCCCTCCCCTCCTCTCCCATCCCTTTCCATCATTTATCCTATCAGATGAAGGCTCGTCTAGCCGGGAGTCGTTTCAGATCGCTCAACGAGACTCTTTACACTTCGGATGGGGACAAGGCGTTTCAGATGTTCTCAGAGGACCCCAATGCGTTCGCACAGGTGAGAGGGATTGGGTGCGGTGAAAAGGGATCGTGAAAAGGGTCAATGACATGCACGCTCTACACAACGGATGGGGACAAAGCGTTTCAGATGTTCTCAGAGGACCCCAATGCGTTCGCACAGGTGAGAGGGATTGGGTGCGGTGAAAAGGGATTGTGAAAAGGGTCAATGACATGCACACTCTACACAACGGATGGGGACAAGGCGTTTCAGATGTTCTCAGAGGACCCCAATGCGTTCGCACAGGTGAGAGGGATTGGGTGCGGTGAAAAGGGATTGTGAAAAGGGTCAATGACATGCACGCTCTACACAACGGATGGGGACAAGGCGTTTCAGATGTTCTCAGAGGACCCCAATGCGTTCGCACAGGTGAGAGGGATATAAAGTGTGGGAAGACAGTGAGATGGAGATGGATTTGGAGCGGTGAAATGGGATCTGAATAAACTAGTGGTTCGCAAGTGAACGAGATGCTCTACACGTGGGATAAGGACAAGGCGTTTCAGATGTTCTCTGAAGACCCACACGCGCTCGCACAGGTGAGAGGAATGGATGGAAAAGATGTCGGAAGTGGTGCAGAGGGGTATGCATGACCAAGTGAGCTCCAAGAGAAAGACACGCTACACGTCAGATGGAGAAAAAGCGTTTCAGATGTTCTCTGAAGACCGTGAAAGAAGGAGTGTTTTGAGACGTCTCAAAACACTCCTTCTTTCATCTGAAGACCCACACGCGTTTGCACAGGTGAGAGGGATGGAAAGAAAGCGAAAAAGCCAGAAACTATTTTGAGAGCGGTGATGAAGGGTTTTTATCAAATGAGCGGTTTTACCAGGCAACAGAGGGTAGTTTGCCACACCTTCACTTGAGGGTGTGGCAACAGAGGGTAGTTTGCCACACCTTCACTTGAGGGTGTGGCAACAGAGGGTAGTTCGCCACACCTTTTTGGTTTCCGCCTCTCCTTTTCTGTTCCATTCCACCCCATCCCATCTCATCCATGCACCCATGAACAGTACCACAAAGACTATCAGTACAAAGTTGTCCAATTTCTGCTGCTGCATCTTTCCCTATTCCATCCCAACCCACTCCACCCCACTGCACTCCACTCCACTCCGCCCTACCCCATCCCATCCCATCCCATCCCAACACATTCCACTCCATCCCATTTCAATCCATTTCATCCCACCCCATGCATGCACACATGAACAGTACCACGAGGGATATCGGGAGCAGGTGGCGTCCTGGCCAATCAACCCCCTCCACGTCATCATTGACTGGATCTGCCAGCGCCCAGCCACCCTCACAGTTGCTGACTTTGGCTGCGGTAAGCCCTCTTCACTCTGGTTGAATCTAGTTGACCCCCGTTGACTCTGGTTGATCCTCATTGATCCACGTTTTCAACTCACATCCACGTCATCATTGACTAAATCCGCCATCGACCTCCCACCCACCCAACTTTGGCTGCGGTAAGCCCGTTGACCCTCGTTGACCCCCCTCTTGACCCTCGTTGACTTGCGTTGACCCTCGAGTTCTCTCACTCCGCATCGCATCTGTGCATGCATCTGTGAAATCCCAAAAACTCTTCAATTATGATGGCTGGCTGAAGAAGTTTTGAGACGTCCCAAAAACTTTTCAATGATGGTGGCTGGGTGAATGAGTTTTTTCCTCTTGTTCTGTTGACCCTGGTCCGTCCCCCTCCTCTGCTCCGAGTTGACTTTTGAGTCGACTCAAAAGTCGCCTCTGCTCCGAGTTTCCCTTACCATTTGTTTGAAGAAGTGTTTTGAGACGTCTCAAAACACTTCTTCAAACACTTGAGTCGACTCAAATGTCGCCTCTGCTCCGAGTTTCCCTTACCATTTTCGTAGAACTGGAGTGGCTTTTCCGTTTGTGATGGTGGTTGAAGTCTAAAACTGCACACACGGTAACCACCTACATTGGAAGATGTCTGACTTGAAGTGCCCTCAATGGCACAGTAACCACATTGCATGTCAATGTTCTCTCTCCCCATCCTGTGTTCTGTGCATGAATTTCCCTCCCCACATATGATATGTGACATATCCAACAGGCGAGGCGAAGCTAGCAGCCAGTGTGCCCAACAAAGTGACCTCTTCAGACCTGGTGGCTGCTGCAGCGAATGTAGACTGTGGTTCTGCAACGTTTCAAGCACCCTCTCTCCTCATTTTCAAAAGTGGCTGCTGCGCAAGTGTGGCCTTACAATGTTTCAACCTCCTCTCTCCATTTTCACGACCCATGAATGCATGCACCCCCACTAACCAAACAGGCGAGGCCAAGCTAGCAGCCAGTTTGCCCAACAAAGTGACCTCTTCAGACCTGGTGGCTGCTGCAGCGAATGTAGACTGTGGTTCTGCAACGTTTCAAGCACCCTCTCTCCTCATTTTCAAAAGTGGCTGCTGCGCAAGTGTGGCCTTACAATGTTTCAACCTCCTCTCTCCATTTTCACGACCCATGAATGCATGCACCCCCACTAACCAAACAGGCGAGGCCAAGCTAGCAGCCAGTGTGCCCAACAAAGTGACCTCTTTAGACCTGGTGGCTGCTGCTCCTGGTGTGATCGCATGCAACATGGCTCATGTGAGTATGGGAATGGCATGAGTGACTATAAGCATGTTGCGACTGTAAGCATGTGTGACTTAATTGAGGGAAACAAAATGGTCACCCTAGACCTGGTGGCTGCTGCCCCCCATGCGATCGCATGCAACAGGGCGCATGTGACTAGGGGCATGATGTGTGTGTGTGTGGCTATAAGCATGGCATGTGACTGTAACAAGGGAGCAAGCTAGCAGCCAGCGTGCCCATCAAAGTGACCTCTTTAGACCTGGTGGCTGCTGCATGTAAGTAAAGGGGGCCATGATGTGTGTGTGTGTGGCTATAAGCATGGCATGTGACTGTAACCAGGGAGCAAGCTAGCAGCCAGTGTGCCCAATAGAGTGGTCTCGTTGGACCTGGTAGCTGCTGCTCCCCATGTGATCGTGTGCAACATGGCGCATGTCAGTAGGGGCATGCGTGGTGTGCGACTGTAACCACTCGTGTGATTGTACCAACGTGTGACTATCCCATGTCGTCCCAGTTTTACCACCTCCACCTGACAGCCCCCCATACAAGCCCCCCTGATAGCCCCCCATACAAGCCCCCCTGACAGCCCCCCATACAAGCCCCCCTGACAGCCCCCCATACAAGCCCCCCTGACAGCCCCCCCTACCAGCCTCATCAGTCCACATTGCAGTCTTCTGCCTCTCTCTCATGGGACCAGACTACCCCTCCTTCCATAAACCACGCGTGTCTATTACTCATCACCCCCATTCCGACGTGCCTCCATCCCCCACCCAGACCCCCCTACCAGCCTCCTCAGTCCACATTGCAGTCTTTTGCCTCTCTCTCATAGGACCAGACTACCCCTCCTTCCATAAACCACGCGTGTCTATTCCTCATCACCCCCATTCCGACGTGCCTCCATCCCCCACTCAGACCCCCCTACCAGCCTCATCAGTCCACATTGCAGTCTTCTGCCTCTCTCATGGGACCAGACTACCCCTCCTTCCATAAACCACGCGTGTCTATTCCTCATCACCCCCATTCCGACGTGCCTCCATCCCCCACCCAGACCCCCCTACCAGCCTCCTCAGTCCACATTGCAGTCTTCTGCCTCTCTCTGGGACCAGACTACCCCTCCTTCCATAAACCACGCGTGTCTATTCCTCATCACCCCCATTCCGACATGCCTCCATCCCCCACCCAGACCCCCCTACCAGCCTCATCAGTCCACATTGCAGTCTTCTGCCTCTCTCTGGGACCAGACTACCCCTCCTTCCATAAACCACGCGTGTCTATTCCTCATCACCCCCATTCCGACGTGCCTCCATCCCCCACCCAGACCCCCCTACCAGCCTCCTCAGTCCACATTGCAGTCTTTTGCCTCTCTCACATGGGTGCAGGCAGACTACCCCTCCTTCCCGCTTCACACACACCTTAACTGTCAATCTGTTATCTCCTCCATGCTTCCATGCCTCAAACCCCCTACCAGCCGCCTCAGTCCACATTGCAGTCTTCTGCGTCTCCCTCCTGGGCGCAGACTATCCCTCCTTCCTGTTTCTATCAGAACATTATAGCTTATACATCTGTGTAGGCTGTAGTGGGGTAGCTCATAAGAGGTACAACCCAATTAAGGTTAGTACTTGTACCCAACTGTTTCATAGTTCAATCATCCTCTCGTTCTAAACTCAACATGGTATAGAGCTGGTTCCCTCGTGGGAACTGTTCCTAGGGCCCACCGATCTTTTTTTTCCTGCCCGGAGCGCGCTTGGCCCCTGCCCGAGTCGCGCCCCGTGTCGTTCCCCCTCTTACGGCCCCTAACGGCCCCTCTTACGGCCCCTAACGGCCCCGTCGCGCCGCCCTTGCGGCCCCGTCGCGCCGCCCCTGCGGCCCCGTCGCGCCGCCCTTTAAGCGGCCCCGTCGCCGCCCCTTACTGCGGCCCCGACGCTGCCCTTAGGCGGCCCTGTCGCCGCCCTTTCAGCGGCCCGTCGCCGCCCCTAACTGCGGCCCCGTCGCCACCCTTCAGCGGCCCCGTTGCCGCCCTTCCGCGGCCCCGTCACCGCCTTTTAGCGGCCCCGTCGCCGCCCTTCCGTGGCCCTGTCGCCGCCCTTTCAGCGGCCCTGTCGCCGCCCTTCCGCGGCCCCGTCGCCGCCCTTTCAGCGGCCCCGTCGCCGCCCTTCAGCGGCCCCGTCGCCGCCTTTCAGCGGCCCCGTCGCCGCCCTTCCGCGGCCCTATCGCCGCCCTTCCTGCGGCCTCGTCGCCGCCCCTACCTGCGGCCCTGTCGCCGCCCTTTCAGCGGCCCCTACGCCGCCTTTCAGCGGCCCCGTCGCCGCCCTTCCGCGGCCCTGTCGCCGCCCTTTCAGCAGCCTCGTCGCCGCCCTTACCTGCGGCCCCGTCGCCGCCCTTCAGCGGCCCCGCCGAGCCGCCTTTGCTGCCGGCTGCCGAGCCGCTGCGCCGCCAAGCCACCGAGCCGCCGAGCCGCCTGTGCTGCCGAGCCGCCTTTGCCGCCGAGCCGCCTTTGCCGCCGAGCCGCGTTTTGCCGCCGAGCCGCCGAGCCGCACTGCAGCCGAGGCGCCGCCGCCTATCGGCCTGCCCGGGTCCGCCTCACTTACCTGGTAAGAGCAGCGCCTCTGCCCCACTGTACTCACTGCATGTCTACTGCTGTCATGGCCACCCCTAGTGTTCTCGCCTTTGACGCTGAAGGTCGGGCAGTTGACTTGGAGGTTTGGGTAGATGATCTACAGCTTATCCTACAGTGCGATAGGGCAGACGGTCTCTCCCTGTTTGACCTCACTTCTGGTGCCTCTCCTGCCCCTGCTGCTGATGCTAACGCCACTGTTCGCTCACAGTGGGCCACGCGCGATGCTGCTGCTCGCCTTGCTGTGCGCCGCCACTTACCGACCACTGAGCGTGCACACTTTAGCCAGTACAAGAGTGCTCAGACCTTGTACGACGCTGTAGTTGCACGCTACTCTTCCCCTGCCACTGCTGCACTGAGCTGCCTCATGCTACCATACTTCTTCCCTGACCTTCCTGCCTTTCCCACAGTCACTGACCTCATTACGCACCTACGCACTAGTGACACTCGCTACCGCGCTGCGCTCCATGCTGAGTTCTGCGCCAAGAACCCCCCCCCCCAATGTACATCACCCTCTACTACATAGTCACCCGGCTCCCTGACTCTCTCCGCGTAGTCAGGGACCACTTCCTCTCGGTTTGCCCCACCACTCTCACGGTTGACCTCCTCGAGAAAGCCTTCCTAGCAGAAGAGAAGAGTATAGTCGCTGTAGGAGCCTCTCGTGGTGACCCTCGCACCCCCGTCTTTGAGGGGTGTTCTCCCTCCCCCCTCTTGCCCTCTGTTGCCTCTGCTGCTGCGGCCGACCTCGTTGGTTTCGAGTCGGTCGGCGCTGCGTCTGCCCCGAGCGGGAGACGCCGCACCGGCAAGGGCAAGGGGAGCAAGGGCGCTGGAGGGGCTGGCGGGGGCGGTGGAGGTGGTGGTGGAGGCAGTGGAGGGAGTGGGGGTGGTGGTGGGAGTGGTGCCGGGGGTGGCGGCGGCGACGGCAATAGTGGAGGCGGCGGAGGCGGCGGTGGTGGCGGAGGGAGCGGAGGCGGCGGAGGTGGCGGAAGAGGCGGAGGTGGAGGAGGCGGCGGAGGCGGCGGCGGCGGCGGTGGTGGAACGGGTCGCGACTCTGCGCGAAGGAGTGGCTCAGGTGGTGGTCCGCGCCAGCAGCAGCGGTATGGTATGACCCTGTCCCCTCAGCAGATTCGTGAGTGGTACACTGCGCGTCAGCGCGGTGGGGGTTTTGGTCCCTGCACTTACGTCTTCCGTACCGGCGACCGAGCTGGTGAGCAGTGCGGGGGCCCGCACTCCACCCAGCGCTGCTTCAGTCGCCTGACGGACGCGTGGCGTCGCTAGTTCCCTGAGGCGTCAGAGATTCCTCGCTGGGGAGATCTGTCTAGGGCGGGGGTTGCCATCTTTGATCTTGACTATGATGCTATCCTTGCTGCCATGTATTCTGTGACTACTAGTGTTGAGGGTGACTGTTACCTGTGTGTACCGCCTGACCCGGGCATTGAGGCCACTGCTCTAGGTGCTGGTGAGGCTGCTGTTCTAGGTGCTAGTGCGTCTGCTGCCCCAGGTGCCAGTGCGTCTGCTACCCCAGGTGCCAGAGCGTCTGCTGCCCCAGGTGCTGGTGAGTCTACTCTCTCAGGTACTACGTCGGCTCAGGCCTTCCATACCTTCACCCCTGACTCGGGTGCGTCCCGCTCCTTCTTTCGAGACCGCACCACTCTTACGCAGCTCAGTCGGCCGGTTGCAGTCTCCCTGGCAGACCCCTCTTGGGGTCCTGTCTTTGCTAGCTTCTCCACTGTCTTACCGTGCCCGGCAGCCCCCTCTAGCACCCTGTCAGGTCTCTACCTCCCCTCGTTCTCTACGAACTTGGTGAGTGGAGCGGATCTACAGGATAGGGGGGATTGACCAGTTCACTCCTGCGAGTCAGCGAGTGACCCACTGCACGTGTGCTCGGACAGGCCGACACCTGGCCACGTTCACCCGTCGGCCAGGGTCGAGCCTGTACACCCTTACGACTGAGTCTCCTCCGGCTGCTGAGTCTGGCTAGGTAGCTGCGTCGAGTCAGGTGTTTGCTGCAGCGTCCAGGTCTGGTCCTGAGTCTGCTCCCTGCTCGTGTCGTCTCCTGTCCCACCAGACTCTCCTCTGGCACCACCGTCTTGGTCACCCCTCCCTGCCTCGTCTCCGAGGCATGGCCTCCCGAGTCTTTGTCTCTGGTCTCCCCCGGTCTCTCCCTCCCCTACCTCCGGGGCCTGGCCCTACCTGCGTCCCCTGCGTCGAGGGGCGACAGCGCGCCGCCCCTCACTCCTCCGAGTTTCCTCCGACAGAGGCTCCGCTACAGACCCTCCACATGGATGTGTGGGGCCCCGCCCGCGTCCGTGGACAGGGGCACGAGCGTTATTTCCTGTTGGTAGTTGACGACTACTCGCGTTACACTACAGTCTTCCTTTCGCGCAGCAAGTGTGACGTCACTGAGGTGTTGATCGACTGGATCCGCGCAGCTCGTCTCCAACTCAGAGAGAGTTTCGGCTCGGACTTTCGTGTTCTGCGTCTGCACTCGGACAGAGGCGGGGAGTTTTTTCCTCTGCCCGTCTGGGAGCCTTCTGTCGTGCAGAGGGCATCTGCCAGACCTTCACGCTTCCGGCCTCTCCACAGCAAAATGGGATTGCTGAGCGCCGCATTGGCATGGTCATGGACGTCGCTCGTACGTCCATGATGCATGCGGCTGCCCCCCATTTTCTGTGGCTGTTTGCGGTTCAGTACGCCGCGTATCAGCTCAACCTTCAGCCCCGGGTCTTCTTGCCAGAGACCTCCCCCGCCTTGTGGTGGACCGGGAAGGTTGGCGATGCGTCTGCGTTTTGGGTCTGGGGATCTCGGGCGTTTGTCCGCGACTTGTCTGCGGACAAGCTGTCCCCCCGTAGTGTTCCCTGCGTCTTCCTGGGTTTCCCCCTTGACGCGCCTGGGTGGCAGTTTTACCACCCCACTTCGCGCCGTGTTCTGTCCTCCCATGACGTCACCTTTGACGAGTCGGTGCCTTACTACTGTCTCTTCCCCTACCGCACTGCGCCCCTCCCCCCGCCGCCGCTCTTCCTTGCACAAGGTCCTCCCCCGGTAGACCCCCTCCCCCTTCAGGGTCCTGCCCCGTCAGGAGTGTCCCAGGTAGACGTAGTCGAGCTTGTCGAGGTAGCTGTTGACTCTGGTGCTGCTAGAGGTGCTGAGCCTACGAGTGCCGGGTCTGGGGGTGCTGAGACTGGGGGTGCTGCTGGGAATACTGGAGTTGGTCCTGCTGGAGCTACTGGCGGTACTAGTGCCGCTGGAGCAGGAGCTGCTGGGGGTGTTGGCGCTGGTGTTTCTATTGGCGCTGGTGCGTCTGGGGGTGCTGCTGAATCTGCTGGAGCTGACGGTCCTACTGGAGTTGGTGCTGCTGGAGCTGGAGCTGCTGGGGGTGTTGGCGCTGGCGGTGCTGCTAGCGCTGGTGCTTCTGAGGGTGCTAGAGTTGGCGCTGTTGGAGCTGGAGATGCTGCTGGCGCTGGTACTGCCGCTGGGGGTACGGGTGCCGTCCTTGTTGGTTCCGGAGGCGCTGAGCGGCCGAGGCCGTACTTCGTTCCGCTCCTGGAGCAGGTTCTTGGTCTCCCGTCCTCTCCTGGTCCTGCTCCTCTCTTAGAGTGTCCACAGCCTGTCCAGTCGCAGTCGCAGTCACAGTTACAGCCCGCCTCCCCTCTACCTGCTCCTTCTCCCTACACTGGTCCTACTGGAGGTCTTGCTGAGCGTCGTGCGCCCGCGTCTCGTCCTGCGTCGCCTGTTCGTGCTGCTCGCACTAGTGGTCGTACTGCGCGTCCGCGTCCTCCTGCGGTCCCCGGCACACACCAGATGGCGCTGCGTCCTTCCACTGCTCCTCTGCGTGTCCCGTTGCCGTCTCCTCCAGAGTCCTCTCTTCCTACTCTTGCTGACCCGGAGTCTGACTCCCTTCGTGCTACTAGTCCTTCGGTCACGCGTCTCCTTGCTACAATTGTCACCGACCCTTCCTTTGAGTCCACTGCTGCGTCTGATTCTGCTGAGTCTACGTCTGCCTGTCCTCCGTCCGTCGGGGGTGACTGTGCTCTTGGCACGGACGTCCTTGAGGACAGGCAGGAGGAGTTCCAGTGCTTTGCCGCCGCTTTGCCCCATCTCGTGTCCATGCTTGTTGCCCCTGAGGGAGACCCGGATGCTCCTGACATCCCGACCCCACGCTCTTACGCAGAGGCGATGGCCGGTTCCTACTCCTCTCAGTGGCAGAGAGCTATGGACGCAGAGATGGCTTCCTGGAAGTCCACAGGCACCTACGTCGACAAGGTTCCCCCACCTCGGGCGAACATTGTCAGTGGCATGTGGATTTTCAGGGTGAAGCGGCCTCCGGGTTCTCCGCTTGTCTCCAAGGCGCGTTATGTGGCTCGAGGCTTCAGTCAGCGGCAGGGAGTTGACTATTTCCAGACCTTCTCTCCCAATGACCACTCTTCGGGTGCTGCTGTACATAGCCGCTCAGCGCGATTACGAGTTTCACTCTCTTGACTTCAGCACAGCTTTCCTGCAGGGCAGCATGCACGAGGAGATCTGGCTGCGCCGCCCACCTGGCTTCACTGGGTCGTTCCCTCCTGGTACCCAGTGGAGCCTCCGGCGGCCAGTCTACGGTCTCCGCGAGGCGCCCCGTGAGTGGCACGACACACTGAGGACTACACTTGCGGCTCTTGTGTTTGCTCCTTCTACAGCTGACCCGTCGCTGTTTCTGCGCACTGACACCTCTTCGACGCCGTTCTATCTCTCGTGTACGTCGACGACTTGGTCTTTGCCACTGCTGACACTGCTGGACTCGCCCACGTGAAGTCCGAGCTGCAGAAGAGACACACGTGCACAGACCTGGGTGAACTGCGCAGCTACCTTGGCTTGCAGATCACCCGGGATAGAGCACAGCGCACCATTACCCTGACTCAGTCACACATGGTGCAGCAGGTCCTTCAGCGCTTCGGCTTCACGTACTCCTCGCCTCAGGCCACTCCTCTGTCTACTCGCCACTCGCTCTCAGCTCTGCCTTCGGATGAGTCCGTAGAGCCGAGTGGCCCGTACCCAGAGCTTGTTGGCTGCCTCATGTACCTGATGACCAGCACACGACCTGACCTTGCATACCCTCTTAGCATCTTGGCACCCTATGTTGCTCCTGGGAAACACAGACTAGAGCACATGGCTGCAGCGAAGAGGGTGTTGCGCTACGTGTGCAGTACGTCGGGCATGGGGCTAGTGCTTGGAGGGCGACGTCGAGTGGTCCTCACAGGTCTCGCAGATGCTTCTTGGGCTGACGAGCAGGCTCTGCAGCGGTCGTCACAGGGTTACACCTTCAGTCTTGGCTCTGGCTCTGTTTCGTGGCGGTCTACCCGCTCGTCTTCTGTTCTCGGCTCCAGCTGTGAGGCTGAGATCTACGCAGGGGCCATGGCTGCACAGGAACTACGCTGGCTCACCTACCTGCTGACTGACCTAAAAGAGCCGCCTCGTTCTCTTCCAGTTCTGTACGTAGACAACAAGGCCATGCTGGCCTTGTGTCGGGAGCACAGAATGGAGCACAGAACGAAGCACATTGCTCTCCGCTACTCCCCGGCTCGTGAGCTGCAGCAGCGTGGTCAGCTCCGCCTCACCTACGTGGCCTCTGAGGCCAACACTGCTGATATCTTCACCAAGGCGCTTCCGCCTTGTGATCATCAGCGCTTCTGTATTTTGCTAGGTCTTGTGTCTACCTGGCCTCACTTGCTCACTTCTTGATCTTGTTTGTACTGTACTCTTTCTATACCTGCACTTGCTTGTTTACCTTTATATATATGATCTTGCATGTGAACTGGCCTTGTGGCCTTGCTCTTGTGCTCGGACTGTGTGGTGATTTTGTGATCCACCCTGAGCTTGGTTTGCTTTGCTTGACTGGTCTTGTGACCACTTGTTCTCCCCCACTTGACCTATGGGGGTGTGTCAGAACATTATAGCTTATACAATTGTGTAGGCTGCAGTGGGGTAGCCCATAAGGGGTACAACCGAATTAGGGTTAGTACTTGTACCCAACTGTTTCATAGTTCAATCATCCTCTCGTTCTAAACTCAACAGTTTCGACACGTCTCAAGCCTCAATGTGTCGCTCTCCCATGTTGTTCCCTTGTCCCCTTGCCCCCCTACCAATCCCCCCAACAAGATTTCTCGGTTGATATTGCATTAATCTGCCTCTCCCTCAGAGGAGCAGACTATCCCTCCGAGGTGACTTTTGAGTCGACTCAAAAGTCCATAGGAGCGGACTATCCCTCCGAGGTGACTTTTGAGTCGACTCAAAAGTCCTTAGGAGCGGACTATCCCTCCGAGGTGACTTTTGAGTCGACTGAAAAGTCCATAGGAGCGGACTATCCCTCCGAGGTGACTTTTGAGTCGACTCAAAAGTCCATAGGAGCGGACTATCCCTCCGAGGTGACTTTTGAGTCGACTGAAAAGTCCATAGGAGCGGACTATCCCTCCAAGGTGACTTTTGAGTCGACTCAAAAGTCCATAGGAGCGGACTATCCCTCCGAGGTGACTTTTGAGTCGACTGAAAAGTCCATAGGAGCGGACTATCCCTCCAAGGTGACTTTTGAGTCGACTGAAATGTCCATAGGAGCGGACTATCCCTCCTTCTTGTCCTTCCTTCTGGAGAGCTGGTTTTTGAGATTTCTCAAAATCTTTCCGGGGACTTCTCATGACTCTCTCTGTGTCCGTCCCATGTCCAACCCATATCGCCCCCATGCCTCCATGCCCCAGACCCCCCTACCAGCCGCCTCAGTCAACATCGCAGTCTTCTGCCTCTCCCTCATGGGAGCAGACTACCCCTCCTTCCTCTCTTGACACGTCTCGTGACTCTCTGTGCGCCTTAACCACGTGTGCCTACTCTAAACCCCCCCATGCCTTCGTGCCCCAGACACCCCTACCACCTGCCTCGGTCAACATTGCAGTCTTCTGTCTCTCCCTCATGGGAGCAGACTACCCCTCCTTCCTGTCTGAAGCTCACCGTGTGCTGCACCCTGGGTAAAGACGTGGGACGGGTATGGTATGGTATGGTGTGGCAGATTGGGGTGTGGAGAGTGGGGCAGGTGCAGGGCATGGTATGTGGGCTCTCTTGGGAGCGGACTACCTCTCCTTCCTCTCTGAAGCTCACCGTGTGTTGCAACCTGGGTGAGCCTGTTTCTGCTACGCTATAGTACCGCACAGTACGGTACAATACGGTACAGTATGGTACAGTACGGTACATTATGAGGAGCCTGTTCGACCCCACCACTGGAGATGTTTTGAGGTGCCTTATGGTGCCCTCTCTGCCTCTCTGCCTCTCCTGCCCTTGCCCCATTCTAAACACAGGGGCTCACTCATTATAGCCGAGGTGAGGAGCCGGTTTGACCCCACCACAGGAGGGGCGGAATTGAAGGACTTTGTTGCTGCACTGAAACAGCTTGGATTCCGCCTTGTCTCCAAGGTACAGTCTCCAAACCACCTGGGATACTGTTCTGGGATGGCATCATATCCTGTTGTGGGTAGTGTTGCTCTGCATTGCACTGTACCAGCCTCACCCACAGGAGGGGCGGGGCTGAATGCTTTTTTGCCACTCAAACTCCTACGGTTCCGCCTTGTCTCCAAGGTATTTGAGTAGACTGTTGGGGTGCAGTTGTGGATAGTGTTGGTCTGCATTGCACCTTACCAGGCTTAACCTCAGTAGGGGCTGAGCTGAATGGCTTTTTGCCACAGTCAAGCACCTGGGTTTTCTGCCTCGTCTCCAAGGTACAGTCATGGGGTGGTAGTGTTGGATTGCATTTTGCTGTATGTATGCCACACCATTGGAGGGATGGAGTCGACACACTTCCTCTCTCCGCTCAACACCTAGGGTTTCCCCTCGTCCCCAAGGTAGCTCTGTTGTGGGTAGTGTTGGTTGGATCGCATAACACAGTACTCACATCACATGCTTCCCTGGATCAATCAAGCTCCGCCTTGTACCTTTTTTCATATTTTGGGCAGGATTTGAGCAACAAGATGTTTCTCCTCCTTTTCCTTGAGAAAGTGCAGGCAGAGGTGAGTGACAGGTTTGCAGCCAAATGTAAGGAACAATTACGCAATGTAGGTACTGGTATTGATGAAAGAAGTCATCACGGTCGCCTTGTTTTTGCTTATCGCGTGCTTGCTCACACATTTACTCGTTAATTAACCCAAGCGCATGTTAATTGACATGTTCTCCCATTCGCACGCACCTCTTAACTTTCTCGTTGTGGTTTTGTGAATACATGAGATGTTAACTGTGTACTCCTCTCATTTCCATTTGTACTCTTGTGCTTTGAATTGATGAATGGATGTGTTTGGACTTGTTGGGAGACGGGTGACTGTATAAAATGTTGGTGTTCTTACAGCTGACGAAAGGCCAGGTGAAGAATAAAAATTCAGTGTCTGCTGACGTTAAATGGCCTGCCTTGAAACCCTGCCTTTATAAGAGACGGTGATATGTTTTGTTGTTGTAACTGAAGGATCGTAGTGGATAGGATAAGTCTGTCAAGTTTGAAAGAAGACAATGAAGTCTCTGTAATGACCTTGTTAATAAAGTTGAAAGAGAACAAGATGATTATATGATAGGAGTACAAGGATATAAATAGCAATCCTAGCTAGCCATGTACTTTGAGGGGTACATGCCCTTATTAACTCAATTACATTGCTAAAGTAATCACGACTGATTCTATTCGTGACAGTTACCATGTTGCATCGCGTAACTACCAAGTGCGGTTACTGGGCAGTCAAGGGTCACGACCGTTGACTGTCTTCGACTGTTGACCTGCGGGTGACCCTCGACCTTCCGCATGCTCTATAAAAGCTATTGCGATACTAATACAGGCGCGTTGCTTCGTTATGGAGTGAAGAGTGAGTGGAGAGCCTTCGGGAATGTTACGATAACTTTTCGGTTATTCCAACACTCCCCTTTATTCCTGAAGGTGAGCCGCGTGGGATTTCTTCGAGATCCCGCAGAGGTCGGTGCAGTGCTGAAACTTCTGACGTGGCAGCTTCTTGGTCAGGAAGTCTGTTGCCATGTCACCAGTTGGGCAGCATGTGAGTTTGACCTTCCCTTTGTCGGTTCCGTCTTTGACGAAGAACTAACGGAGTGTGATGCGTTTCGTGCGGTTCACGAAGCCGGGCTTGTTCGCGATCTTGATCGCGCTCTGGTTGTCGCAGCGTAACGTGAAGTGCCCGTTCATCGTTACTTTCGCTTCCTGCAGGAGCTCCATCAGGTACAGTCCTTCGCAAACAGCTGCGCTTGCGGCGATGAACTCAGCTTCGGCTGACGAAAGGGCGATGAGTTCCTGCTTCTGAGAGTTCCAGGAGATGAACCCAACAGGTTGGGCGTTTGTTGTCAATGTCTCCTTCGTGGTCTGCGTCTACGTAGCCATGGAGCTGCAGGGTAGCAGTTAAGTTAGCTTTGTAGGTGAGGCCGACGTCGGGAGTAGAGACGAAGTATTGAAGTGCTCGGCGTAGATCCGGTAGATTCTCCCCTCAGGTCGCTTCAAGTACTATGCAAGCTGGCTTGCGACGTAGGAGAGATCGGGCCGGCACGTGACGACGGCGAACAAGAGACACCCTAGCTGCTGCTGATAGAGCCGATGATCGTCAATGGAGAGCGGTGTAGTATCTGGTTCGTGGTTAGGAGGAGGAGTGCGGTAGGGGGTGGTGAGATTGAGCAGCATGACAGCGAATTTATTCGCGAGTGTTTCCGCATACTTGGCGGCGGAAAGGTGAATGGAGGTGGCGGACTGAGTGATGTTGAGGCCCAAGAATTGTGTGACAGTGTGGTTGATTGTCACCTCGAGCTTCTCTTTGATATCTGCCTCAAACTGGTCAGCAGCTCCGTGTCGTCGCCGGTGTAGAGTAGATGGTCGACGTAGGCGACGAGAAGGATGAACTTGTCGCGTCAATTTGATGGGATGGCCGCTGTTTGACGGCTGCGATGCAGATGAGGATGCGTACTGAAGTGTGTCGTCCGACAGGCGCGTAGGTGAGGTCGAAGTCTACCATGTGAGTTTGCTCGAATCCGCGCACCACCCATCTCGCCTTGTATTTGTCAATGGAGCCATCCGCGAGTGTTTTAATGCGAAAAACCCACTTTCCACTGAGAATTTCCTCCCCTTAGCTAATAATCATGGAACCAGTTTCCACGTTCCGCGTCTCTTCAGTGATGCGACTTCTGCAGCCATGGCTGCCTTCCATTTCTGACTGTCGAGGCCAGACAAGGCCTGGCGAATGGTGGTCGGTTCCTTGGGGGAGGTGTGGCGAACAGCTACGGCGAGCCCAAGGATGCAAAGACCAGTTTCGTTGTTCTTTTCATAGTGAAGGTGGTCGTAGTCGTGGAGGCTGGTTACATCGACGACATCGTCGTCACTGTCGTTGCCGAGGCGAAGGGTGTCTTGCGAGGTGTTTGGTGGTGGTAACTCGGCATCCAGAGATAGGCGCGCTTCACTATTGTAAGTGTGCGCTTCGTGAAGTGTCCTCCGCCAAGTGTGCTTCATCGTGTAACGTGGCGAAGCTGTGATGCCCCTCGAAAACCTTTTCCGGTGCTTTATCAGCTTCGCAGTGCTCCTTGAACAGTGGCAGAGTCAACTTTTCGTAGAAGATGCAGTTGTCAGAATCCCAACCACTAGACCATTGGGATAAAAGGGCTTGTTAAGTAGCGGGTCAGTGCGCCATAACCTCCCAGGCCAGCGAGCCTGTAACCCTTGTTAAAGAACGAGGAATGATTGACTAAGGAATGAGTGTGATACAAATGTGAAACCCTAGAATTGTGTACCCCTTAGTATCTAGCCCACTACAGCCTACACAGGCTAGATCATATAAGTCTGACACACCCCCATAGGCAAAGTGGGGGAGAACAAGGGGTCACAAGACCAGTCAAGCAAAGCAAAGCAAAGCAAGCTCAGGGTGGATCACAACGTCACCACACATTCCGAGCACAAGTTCAAGGCCACAAGGCCAGTTCACAAGCAAGATCATATATAAAGGTAAACAAGCAAGTGCAGGTATAGAAAGATCACAGTACAAGCAAGGTCAAGAAGTGAGCAAGTGAGGCCAAGTAGGCACAAGACCTAGCATCGTACAAAAGCGCTGATGATCACAAGGCGGAAGTGCCTTGGTAAAGATATCAGCAGTGTTGGCCTGAGAGGCCACGTAAGCAAGGCGCAGCTGACCACGCTGTTGCAGCTAACGAGCAAGGAAGTAGCGAAGAGCAATGTGTTCCGTTCTGTGCTCCAGTCTGTGCTCCCGACACAAGGCCAGCATGGCCTTGCTGTCTACGTACGGAACTAGAGGAGAACAAGGCGGCTCTCCTAGGTCAGTCAGCAGGTAGGTGAGCCAGCGTAGCTCCTGTGCAGCCATGGCCCCTGTGTAGATCTCAGCTTCATATCTGGAGCCGAGAACAGAAGACGAGCGGGTAGACCGCCACGAAACAGAGCCGGAACCAAGGCTGAAGGTGTAACCCTGTGACGACCGCTGCGTAGTCTGGTCGTCAGCCCAAGAAGCGTCTGCGTGACCAGTGAGGACCACTGAACGCCGCCATCCAAGCACGAGCCCCATGCCCGACGTACTGCACAAGTAGCGCAACACCCTCTTCGCTGCAGCCATGTGCTCTGGTTGGTGTCTCCCAGGAGCAACATAGCGTGCCAAGATGCTAAGAGGGTATGCAAGGTCAGGTCGAGTGCAGGTCATCAGGTACATGAGGCAGCCAACAAGCTCTGGGTACGGGCCACTCGGCTCTACGGACTCATCCGAAGGCAGAGCTGAGAGCGAGTGGCGAGTAGACAGAGGAGTGGCCTGAGGCGAGGAGTACGTGAAGTCGAAGCGCTGAAGGACCTGCTGCACCATGTGTGACTGAGTTAGAGTAATGGTGCGCTGTGCTCTGTCCCGGGTGATCTGCAAGCCAAGGTAGCTGCGCAGTTCACCCAGGTCTGTGCACGTGTGTCTCTTCTGCAGCTCGGACTTCACGTGAGCGAGTCCAGCAGTGTCAGCAGTGGCAAAGACCAAGTCATCGACGTACACGAGGATGTAGAACGGCGGCAAAGAGGTGTCAGTGCGCAGAAACAGCGACGGGTCGGCTGTAGAAGGAGCAAACCCAAGAGCCGCAAGTGTAGTCCTCAGTGTGTCGTGCCACTAACGGGGCGCCTGGCGGAGACCGTAGACTCGCCGTCGGAGGCTCCACTGGGTACCAGGAGGAAACAACCCAATGAAGCCTGGTGGGCAGGGCAGCCAGATCTCCCAGGCGGAGAACCCGGCGGCCGCTCCACCCTGAAAATCCACATGCCACTGACAATGTTCGCCCCAGGTGGGGGAACCTCGTCGACATAGGTGCCTGTGGACTTCCAGGAAGCCATCTCTGCGTCCATGGCTGACTGCCACTGAGAGGAGTAGGGACCCTCGATCGCCTCAGCGTACGATCGAGGAGTCGGGATGTCTGGTGCATCCGAGTCTCCCTCAGGGGCAATCAGCGTGGACACGAGATGAGGCAAAGCAGCAGCAAAACACTGGAACTCCTCCTGCCTGTCCTCAAGGACGTCCGTGCTAAGAGCACACT